TATTAAAGAAAATTATCTAATGATTTATGAATTATTTGGCGCAAAGAAAACATCGGTCATCCTAACGGAAAATCATTTGCATACCTTGTTTTTCAGGCCGTCTTTTAGATAATTAACGCGCCCGTTGCACGATTTATGTACCTGTTACGCGATAAAACTCTCGTGATTGAGTTTAAAAATACATATTACGGAATGCAATTTTCTATTAACGTGTAATATTATCACGTGCCTGTCGCACCAACGAGCAATTTTCTTGCGACAGGACGACTTCATTTCGATATATATCCTCTCGGCATCAATTAGAAGCTTCGTTTCGATTTCTCGTAGCTGATACAGCTGCCCACATCACACGCATACACACGTGCATGCGTACGTATCAGAGTAGCAAATGCAGTCTCGGGAGAATTATCGAAGAGAAATAAATAGGATCCTGCTACTAGGATTGCACGGCTATCTTCAGTCTTCGTCATCGTCATCGTCATCGTGTCGTCGTCGTCGTCTCGCACGTGAGAACGACTCGGGTGAAAACAGGACAGAATCAGTGGCTGTTAAACAGAGATAGAATGAAAGAAGGACTTGGAAACGGGAACAGAGACGAGCAGGGAACGGGAGTCAAGGAACTAGAAATGAATTCCATTTGCGCGGTTGAGAGGGGAGGACCGTGAAGCGGAATAGAGCGGAATAAGAGAGGAGGACGGAGCAAAAAGGGCTGGCACGACGTCGGCCGCGTGGAACACGGGAGGGTTACCTCGCCTTGTGGAAAGCAAAGAGAAGAGGATGAAGGAGAAATTCGCGGGAAGCGCAAGAGGGACGACGAATAATAAAAAACGCTTGAGGAGGAAGATTATAAGTTATACGCTTACGCGCTGTAAATTTACTCGCATTGTTTAGAATTGAATGAGAAAGAGAATTACGAATGTGATGCGGGATTATATCTCGACTGTTTTCGCGTTGTCATTACCTAAGAATCGCGTTGCGAAGCGTCGTGCAAGAATGCAAGAGATGCATCTGGTCGCGGGAATACGCATGCCGCGTAAACAGGATATGCTGATCAGTAACCATTGATCGCTACCTACGCCATCCGAGACTGCTTATCGATGCAAAAGGAAGGGAAAGCTCGCCGTAATGTTTACAGACATAGCGCAAACATGTGCAAATATGAAATCTTGATATTTTTCTTTCACGTTTTTTTAATATCTAACATTCTGAATTTTTTCGTTTTAATACGCTTGATTATAAATCAGATTTTCACATTTAATTCGCGGATCTGGTCAGTCGCTATGAGGGATTTCTCATAGAAATCGGACGGAACGTCTCGGACCGTGCCATTCGTGTCGAGAACGCATAAGGGCGAGAATCAGTAATGAGTACGTTACGGGTTTCTTCCCTGCCTCGGCTTCGCCGGCAAAAACTCGCTCTCGATTCGATTCACGGTGCCGGAGGACGAGGGATACGAGTAGGAGGAGGTGGAGAGGGTCCAGCGCTGGACCGGCGATCTCCGCGAATTAATCAAATACGCGAGCGATTTGTCTTCGTTACACCCACGTGGGCACCCCGGAGGGACGCGTGTGTAACCGGGGTGACGAAGCCTTCGCGACTCGGCACCGGCGAGAGAAAAACGTGACCGTGCACCTTGCGCGCGACGATTATTCTAAATAAAAATAATGCTTTGTGCAACAAAAATCGGTGGAAGATTTATGTCTGGGTTTGAATTGCAGAAAAAAAACTTGTTTTTATAAATAAATTTTACATTGCTATAAAATACATCTATATAGCGAGAAAAACTGACTAATAATTTACATTAAAATTATATAAAATATGTAAAAATGTTTCAATATATACATAAGTTTTTTTTTTATAATTTGCTATAAATATTGTTTGAGAACATTTTTTTTATTTATCGCTCAAGATTCTTTTATTTTACATCATAACAAAGTATAATAATATTTATTGTTTTTTAATCTTCCGATATACGTAAGATAAAAATTGAAATTACGATGTGCGATATTCTCACGAAGAACGGGCGATTTAATGCGCGCTTTATAATTTTATTATCCTTTAAGATTTATTACCAAATGCGTCGCCGCGCGTATCTTAATGGCTAACTTTCTCGCCACGGCGGCTTACGAAGGAAGGGACACAGATTTGTCCGGCATGTCACATACCCTTCCGAAGTCGCGCGTCGAAATCCTTTTGCACGGGCAAGATACTCGAGCGGTATCTCAGCGTATCGGGATGCGGAGTAAATCGTAATTATATACGGGGAGTAGTACAGGATCGGCGGACCCACCTCTCGCGGCGAGAGTCCGTGGAAAAAGATCACGCGGACGTTTAATAACACGGGTACCGAATGCTGATGGGTAGAGGTATCGCTGGGGATATAAAACGTGTACGTCTTCCAGACCAGTCTCGCGGTACCAACGCATATACGCGTAATTACACGCGCGCCGCGCGTATACGTTCACGCAAGCGCAGTGTTTCATCCTCCGCATGTATATATATTTTACATATGTTGATTCGCGCGCGTGTGTGATCTCAGACACACGCGCGCTTATCCTACACGCAATATGTACTCATACATAGGATGTCTGACCGAGAACAACCTTTCAAATGCCAAAAAACAAACTAAGGATGATGAGGATTGTATCAATGTCTCTCGACATGTGCTAAGTGCAGGAGTTATTTAGCATTGAGAATGAAAGGATTTTGTTTCTCTATCAAAATAAGATGTGTACCAAAATATGCGCACCATTGACCGCCGTATATGTGTATGCGTGCGTGCGTGTAGGTGCACGAATACGGATACACCTTTCACACACTGTTACGAGCATCGATGCGAAAGGGGAAATGGAGGAAAAGGACAGACGAGTTGGATCGAGTATAAATAGCGGTCCATAAATTATGCCATCCACGTACGCGACCGAGTACCATCTTTAAGGCACTGGTCGAAGGCACGGGTCGATGTCACCCGATGTCACCGACGTTAACATAGGAGACAGGCGTCGACGAAGACGCAGATGTCACGAAATAGCGTGGAAATGGAAATATTCACGGCTACTACTCCTCAATTCGGATGACATTGTTCTACCTGATTTTTCCCGTTGCAAACAACGGGAAAAGAAACTTGATCGGAATCGATGGCAGTCGACCTCGCGGAATTGATCGAAACGTATCTAGGAAGGATGTGTCTCGGATTCGTAGTTTCACTCCCGTTTTGGTTCACACCGCGCGCAATTGATCGATCCATCCATCGATTGATCTGAACAATTATCGGTACGTCTGCTGTGCCTGCTTTATTCGCGTGATTGTCTGTAATTGGATGTGACCTCACGATGACGTGTTTTCGTGACACGACGCTGAATAATGTAGAAAATTCATGTCGTTGTAACGAACCGTTGTAGTTGAATCGGATTTCAAACATCATTAATAAAAACGGTTAATTGCTGTGATTGCGAAAAATAAACGGAAGAGACATCTTTTCATCAATTTCATTAGGATTCTTTTTTTATAAATCGAAGCGAAAGACCGCGCGTATGCTAACGATCCGGCTTTAACTCAATACTGACGAACTAATGATTTAGAGCCTCTTCCTGTAATAAGCCATCCAATTATACATCATCATCTATCAAACGGCAAATCGGGGACACGTCGCGTCGGCGCGATGCGTTAGATCTAAAAAGATCCCGACATCGTAAGCCGCGATAATTCCAATTCAGTTTCCCGCAACGTAGGATCCTTACGGTTCTTGGCGTACGAGGACGTGGGCGTGCGGACAGCCAACGGCACTCGTTATGCGAGATACACGCATGTAAGCAGGCCGGCGCGCACGAATCGTTCATCACGGAATTGCATCTGCCAGCGGTAATGACCGGCCAATTTGGCTATTAATTGATTCCGAGGCAGCGGCACCGGGCGGTCCCGGCCGACTCGTGCGAGGAGGTCGAGCGAGGTCGACGTCGTGGAATCGATAAACCGCCATCATTCATTCGTCGATTGCACGTGCCCCGTTCGTTCGCTATTCGGTGGACGAAACTCGTATCATCGAACGGACGCGATCCTACAGACACAAATACGTTTCACGCTCGTGTGCGTGCGAAGGTGACCGTATTCACCGAAGATCTTGCTGTAAGATCATGCCACCGATCAGACACGATCCTTCGAGCGAGCAACGCTCTCCGATCGTAACCGTGACGAATGAGATCTCAGCAATGCGCGACAGAAAAGATCTCGCTTGAAAAGATCTGCTTAGCAGCGAACCTCGGCTAGTCTTCTTTTACGGTGGACTCAATGCCGCCGGAGTTTTATCAGCGGAGAGAATAAATTCGTTCACCGCTGAAGTGAACCGGAGGAACGAGAGTAGCGAGACGCCCGTAACTTTGCCTCTAATTTGGCGAGTTGAAATATAATTACAACTGACTGTGTTGTAATATATTGTTGGCAAGATTGAATGCTGCAACACTCAAGATCACCGATGTCCTTCTGTAATATACAGCTTGTTTGCAAAATTCTTTAAGTCATCCCAATGTATTTTTGCACCAATTGTTTCATAAATTGCTACGGTTGTCGAGGACAGTTGTTAAAAGCAAATCGTTTGTTGATACAAGATCGATTAGAGAGAAACTGACTTCGATTAATCGATCTTCCGATTCAATCACATAAACAACATAAATATATCGGGATTTAATAACAACTCAATCAATTCAGTGTGAACACGCCCGTCGAATCTGGAGTCATTACAAAAACTAAGCTTCGATAATGCAAATGTTCATGCAAATGCAACCGGAGACCAAACTACTTTTTGATATTCGCATCATAATTTATCGAGATTATTCTGATACAACTTTTAATTAGCCTCCGTTGAAGGCGAGAAGGACGAGACTTATTGTGAATAAATTAACACAAAATGTGTTTCTCTTCTTTCGTTTAAAGCAATTTTATTTATATCTGATGCACGTATATATCTGTATATATTATTTAAATTATGTATTCTGCATTTTCAGGCGAACGACCGAGCAGGTTTTATCTGGTAAGAGAGGAAGCTGATCTCTCGTTGGATCCCAACACGGGGATGCTGAGAATTCGACAGCCGCTCGATCGGGAATCACGTGACAAATACATTCTCAGCATCGAAGCACGTAATGGAGGTCCCGCTGGATATTGCCAGGTAAATTGCACATCCTCCAGATAATCATCATCTCGGTATTAACTCACTATAATCATAGCCGTTTATCCGTTTTCTCAATATTTATCCTGAAATGCACATGTAATAATACCGAGTGTGCGAAAAGTTTGCTATGATTTTTGTGTTTCTATTAAATATTATTAGACAACTCGATCGGTGTTTGTTAGCATTGCACTTGAAAACTGTGATTAGTTCATCGTTATTAATCTTTTATCGGTGAGACATGAAGAAACGTTTCATTTATTTAATGAAGGAAATATTAGCTGCCGAATTGCTTTCATTTATATAACATTTATACAATATCGTTTACCTTTTTATTTACAGATGGAATTGATCGTAGAGGATGTAAACGATAATACACCGTTGTTCCGAACGACTAGCGTTCGCATCTCTGTGCCGGAATCTCATCCTCTTCATGTACCTCTGTACGTGGCGCATGCTACCGATCTAGACACCACGCCGTCACTGCCGATACACTACGTCCTCGGTCAAAACAGCAACGACCTCTTCGGGATAGACGCGCGCACCGGCGAACTCTATTTGGAAAGACGATTGGATTACGAGACCCAGCAGAGGCACGGTCTCCTGATAAGGGCCCTGGACGGTGCTGGGCTCTCGGCTAACCTCAGCTTGAGCGTCGAGGTGCAGGACGTGAATGACAACCCCCCAGTGTTCGAGAGGAACGAGTATCATGTGGAGGTTCCCGAAGGCGCCAGGCTCGATTCCCAGGTGAGAAAAATCTTCATTACACGCCCGTCACGCAAGCATTTGTTTGTCGAGAGAATGCGGTAGGGTTCTTCGAAAAAGAAAGCGGATATAGGAGAGACGGAGAGATTTAAAACGTTGTATACGTGTACATGTTAGAGAAAGAGAGCAGAAGAACGAGAAACTTTGGATCAGTCGGGAGAGATGGTAGAAGTTAACAACCTCTCTTCGGTCTTTCTTTCGCTCTTCATCGGCATCTCTTCGCGCCAAAGAGTTCCCTTTTTTTCTTCGTAGGTGGCTTCTTTTTGCTCCTGTGCGTTTTGTATCCCGTCTCTGGGATGCGTAATTTATCCGGGACAACCAGGAAGAACGCGTTCGTGAACCTTTGCTCCCTTTCGATATTGCGAGGCATACGCATCACAACTACCGTTCTCTCCTTTCCGGATAGCTTCTCGCGAAAGAGAAAAGCAGGCGGAGGAGGAAGAAAAAGAAAACGTTGTAAAGTTCACCTTGTAGCAAAAATAAAATTAACCTCTCGCATCGACTAGGAGGGACTTAACTGTACGTTGCGCCGTAAAGATATTAACCGATGTTACTCTACAAAGTTGCGTGATGGATCAGTTCGGACCGGTGGATGGATAGGAAAGAACGTCTGATAATCTGATATCCAAATGCGCGTGCACGCGGCATGTTGCCGATCAATACCGATTGCGACTTCCGCGAGCGTCTGGAATTGATAGGTAACAGTCGATAGGCCCCCGCAGGAGCGTATTACACGGTCGATCATTTCACGAGCAGGTTCCAGCGATTACTTGAACGCGAGATGGGAGATTTATCATGTCACGTACGGTTAAACCGAAAATAGTGTTTCGATTGAGAAACTTGAGTTTCTGAGTTTCGCATTTTGCGCGAATTTGTTTGGTAGAGAGATTTACATTTGTCCTGTTTAATTTCGCATTGAGAAAATCCGAAGCAAGTTATGAATCTTGCAAACACGGATTGGCCCGTAAAAATGATAACGGCAACGTACATTTCCGGTAATACACATATCCGACATATCGAATTGATAAGCGTCTCCCCGCGGTAGTTAGCGGATGTAATCCCGAATGTACGAAGATATTGATGAATGATGCCGGGATTCTTGCTGTAAGATAGTCTCGTTAAATAACGTCACATTTTTAATACAGCATATACACGAGAACCAGAGAGAGACGTCGCCGCGATTGGCGCCTCTCACTTTACTTTTTTCGTCTGCTTATCCTCTTCTTCTCTTTCCTCTTCTTTCGTAGCTGCTCGATCTTTTGTTTTATCTTTCTCCTAGTATACATGTATACATCGCTGATATCTATCGGCGGAACAGATCTGTGAGCTGTCGGTATCTGGACAATATCTAGTATGCATAGATTAGAAAAAAGAAGATGGAGAAATGTAGGAAAGAATGTTGAAGAGCTTAGTACAGTAAGCGTACTTTTCTTTTACCCATCGTAAATTAATAACATGCAATTAGATACATTGCTGCTCTCAAGTATCAAGTTCTTCATTCAATGGTAACGCATATTCCTTCCGATTCCTTCGTCCGCAAAGACAACTTGGTCGCAATATCTCTCTTTTTCTTTTCTTTTCTTTTATTCCTTCTTCTTCTTTCCTTTTCCTTTCCTTCTACTATCATCCATCATCTGCGAGCCGCGAGTTCATGTACGGAACACGACCTTATACACTCCCGGTCCTACATTTTTTCTTTTTTTTCGTTCTTTGACCTTCACTATCTTCCCGTGCTGGGAAACATCGGTTGGCTCGAACGTGTTTAGAGTTCCCGGTCCTTGGGTGCGTTTAATTAATACGAAACGACCGGATCGACTGGTCTTGTCTCGACGCCGCCTCTCACCCCGTTTTTTTTCTCCATTCTCTTGTTCCTTTTCTCTCTTGCTAGATTACGAAAAATCTCGAATGATTATTCTTGTTTCCATTTTCATCGTTCGTCTGGTACTCAGAAATATTTCATTGCTTCATGTGTGAAATTTTCAAATATATTTCAATTAGATATTATATATTTTTTGTGTAATTTAATAATTATAAAATTAAATTAGCAGTTAAATTGTCGCATTAAACATGATTACATATGACTAATAAAATTTCATTGTTTGCAGATTCTTCAGGTAACCGCGGTAGATCTGGATACGGGAAACAATGCGAGACTGAGCTATCGTCTCCATGGTTCTGTTGCCTTTCGCATCAACTCTAACACTGGATGGATCTATCTAGCGCAGAATTTGGATCGTGAAACTCTTGATCGACATGCCTTGACGGTTCTCGCAACGGATAATGGGTCTCCCGCAGCGACCGCGAGTGCTTCAGTACTAGTGACGGTTCTGGACGATAACGACAACGATCCACATTTCGAGAGGGACTTTTACGGATTCGAATTGATTGAGAATCTTCCTTCGGGTACTCTTGTTGGTTCCGTGAGCGCCACCGATCCTGATCTCGGCAAGAACTCGCTTCTCAGATACATGGTGATTCAAGCCAACAGCAGTTTCGCTGTGGATCCTGACACAGGTATAAAAAAAAATTTTCTCAATTTTGCATCCATATTTTTCATTCTTCTTCCGTTTGCACGCCGTCAAATACCAAGGAGATATATATGAGGTTCTCATCGAAACGATGAGTTTGAGTGTTTGCGAAACCCGGGCCTGGCTTCGAGAGCCAAGCAGAGATGCCCGTGCAACTTGAAAACTCGCGAAGAAAAATATTGGCCAATCCATTTCCGAACTCGGGTTCGTCGAGATTTTGTCGAATAAGCTTGACGAGAAGTGCATTATTCTCTATTCTGATCATTCTCAAGTTGAATTCACACCGGACTTATGACTGCGTTACTTGACGACCGTGAATAAGAAATGTATAAGGAGGAACTTCCTGATTTCGTACTTCTCTCGGGGCTACAGTGACAGTGATCGATTCGCGGCGATTAACATTTCGGTTGCAGACTTAAGATTTTTTTTTTCGTCGCGATGCCTTGCTTTGCGGTATTCTGCCATACTACGCTACACGTGCAGCCGCAGGAATGCCACGAAACGGAAGCAATCTCGGTGCAATTCGTCGTGGTCGCGTCGATAATTCCGCTCTCGTCGAAATCTTATCGATCTTTTGCGCGTCATTTCTCCAACTTTATATCTCTTCCTTCTTCGTCGAAGAACGCTATCACGAACGTAATTGTACCGCCGTGTCTACCGCAGAATCTTTTATTTCTTAACCAGATATTGAATCTCGTATATCAGTCTAACGCTTAGTCGATCCGTTGTGCTCTCTTTTCCGTCCTCGCCTCGCGCTAACTTCTATCTCGCGCATCCTCGCTCGCAGCCACAGTTACTTCCTGTTTCAGACAGGTTCTTAGCCTGTTAAATAAAAATTGAACACGCCTTCGCTAGCTTCTTATTAATTCTCCGTGTCTGAATCGTCGGTATGATATTCCTTCTCTCTTTAACTTGTCTCTTCGAGTTCCTTCCAATGCGATATGATGGAGAAACGCTATAGAGTCAACGAAAGATCGATTTAGGTGCGAGAAGGAAACGCCGCGAGTGTGGGAAAAGGAAAGACTATTAATTTTCTAAATGGACCCTAGCCGTCAGCATGTAATTTACGTGTTGCTGTTGCGTCAATCCAATGACCCTTTATGCCGCGCCATTGTTGAACGATTTCGTAATCGACAAAAACATTCCTCGGACAGCGTCGTTTAAATTATTTTGAAATAGAAAAAAAAATATCATAAGATAATATTTTTAAAATATTTTTATAAATATTTTTACAAATACTAATTTTTTAAGTTTTTGATATTACTGAATGACAATTTGCTAAATTACTAGTTGGAATAACAAAAATCACCCGATCGTTGTCTCTCTTCAGGATCTTCGCATAACTCATTTTAGATTGCGGCAGTGTGTGTACGCTCTTTTCTCATGGGCATTAAAATATAATCCGGTAAGAGTGGCGCTTTCGTTTAGTCGACGTGTAACGAATCATCAGGAACGAGGCCCGAGGCTCGTCACACGCCGCGTAACGCACATGTATGCAGTGTGCCACGCAATGTGCGCGGTTTGATTGGCATGCGACACGGGAGTATTTGTGTACACGCTTGGTTCGAGGTCCGGACCCTCTCCTCTCCTTCTTTCCTCCTCGTTTCGTATCCGCCGGGCTGCCTGTTTACAGAGGTGGGACTTCTCGAGTCATTCCGACTGTGCGGATCGAGAGGCAGGCAGAAAAAAAGATGAGAGATAACGACGAGGTGGGGGCGATCGCGCTGCCGGAAGTATCAGCTGTCTTGTCATACGAATACTTCTATATTAATCCCTGCTGCACACAGTGCGAGTGCACATTGTCCGATCAACAGACTGGCGGCAGCGGAGTGAGTTGAAATTTCGCTCGGCCATTGTCCTTCGATCGCGGGCTCTCTAACCCGCGATCTCCCATTGAGAAAACCCTCGAGCGATGCCTCTTGGCTCTTTCCGCGTAGGTCGCCGCCGTAATGTCCGCTTAATGGCGCCCTTTTCTCCATTCATCCAATTAAGGGGGCCCCGCGTGTTGGCTTACAATGTCGAGAGATCGAACCCGCCGTGATTTATGGAACGGCACGTCCTTGATGAGACGCGATGAAAAGTACGGAGAATATCACCGATTGTCAGTTCGATCCGACCAGTTCCTAATATGTACCGGGTGTGATTACAGTCGCTAAACGTCCATGTCCCGCTCGACAAAGACATGATACATTTGACGATGTATTCGTCGAGCCAATGTCAAAGTCGCATTCCGCCACTTTCGCCTCTCTTCCGACGCGAGCCGCGACGTCTTCGTGCGTGGAATCTTCACTCGTCTCTCGTACATTTCAATTCGTCTCGATATGCACGCGCGATACGGCTGATTATTGCAACCTCAGGAATTTCCATGACTTATCATCCAATCAATGTTCATCTATCTATCGGATACCTGTTTACGTACCATCTGCGTCACGTAGCTTGCCCACTGGAACAGGAGCATACTCTTATTTTAGGGATGCGGTAATACTTTTAATGTTATTTTATCGTGCGTCAATTTTGCAAAAAAAAAAAAAACTTTTAATCATTTGGTCTCGTTTAACTAATATTGTTTAACTAATATCGTTCTACGTTGTAGCCTGTGTGTGTACCTAGCATGATAAATGTTGATGATAGTCAATTTATATTATAATTGAGTACAAGTGTAAAAATGGTCGATAGGATATCTTGAATTATTTAGCGATATATTTTCCAGGGGTAAACACGTCCAACGGGGTTTCCCACAGCTTTTTCTTATGCGCTGATAATTTGATACGCAGTTTTGCATTGATGATCAAATTAGAGATAAGATTGCTGCCCGGCTGGTTTGCAACTCGCGTGCGTGGTTGCCGAGCAGGTTCCGAGCTTATCCTCGCCTGAGATTTTTCCATCAGGCACGCTTCTATTCGTCGAATTGTTTGAGGAACCGACGTTGCGTCGTCCGTCACGACGCGGGTCTTCCGCCTAAGCTCGTATATCCGATCGCGGCGATGGATTCCCAAATATTGGAAGAGGCACGCGAAGACAAAAAAGTCCGCTCTTCTTACGAGCATGACGGCGAGGTCGACCATGCGGTCCCACGAGAAACTAACACGAGAAACGCATTAGCACGCGTCCTACGATATACTTCTTATTGTTCCGCGATGGTATCCTCCGGTCGGCGCGTTTGCATGTCCCCCGTCGATCGTTTGTCTTGTCGACGGCGAGGAGTACGATGTCGCCGGGGCCACGCCAGGACGGTCGTGACTAGGTACGTCGAGAATTCGTGGAGGCACGCCAGATTCCGCCTGGTGTGTCGCTGGGGACAGCAATACGGTCGTCGTTTCTCACAGATCCGTCGTACGAATTATTATCCTGATTCTTTTCCCAGATTCTGGCATAATCTGGCGGCGCGGCTAACCGCTCGCTTAATTATCCATTAATGTGTCGACTGATGCCGAGGTAAGGAGGAAACCGGGTCTCCCGACTCCACCTTTTCCCTCTTTCACCTCGCCGCGCTTTCTCGCCCGTCCCCTCCCCGCTTCCTCCTCGTTTTCTTATTCCTCGTTCCCTTCTCGTCGTCCTTCTTTCTTCCCTTGTGACCGTGTCTACTCCCCGCGATACGTAATTACGATGGAGCTTGTTACACGCACGACTACGTACGTTCCGACTAGGTACGATTATTACATGCGAAGAGAGAAAGAGAGAAGAGAAAAAAGAAAGAAGCAAGAGAGAACGGAGACGAAAAACGAAACCCCTGGCGCGACCGTGCATAGACGGTTCTTACGAGCGACGATTATCCAATTAACTGTTCTCGACGAAGAAAATTGATAAGGTCGGTCTAGCCGATCGCGAAGAGGGATGCCGGTCGATTGTACGTATTGAATTTTATGCGAACGGATATGCGAGCGTGTGCTCTTCCGCTCGCATAAAATGCGATTTCAATCGCAAGATCGGTCTCAGAGCCAGCACATAAGATCTATCAGACTCGTTCTTTTGTTGCGCGGCTATAAATATTTCGCAGCGTTCATAAATAGATGCTACCTACAACAAAGTACCGCGAGGAATTCTTAATAGATCGTTAATAATTTGTGTACCATCGGATCCAATGCTTATGAAACGTAATAAAAATAAATTGTTTCTGTTTCTTTTTACTCGTCAGGTGAGATTACCACGCGCGAGCCGCTTGATCGTGAAACGAAAGACGTTCATGAACTGGTCCTAGAGGCACGGGATCAAGGAGCACCATCGAGAGCCGCCAGGGTACCTTTGAAAGTCACAGTTTTAGACGTCAATGACAATTCGCCTGAAATCGTCGATCCTCAAGGAGATGTTGTCAGCGTTAGGGAGGAGCAACCACCGGGAACGGAAGTTGCCAAAGTGCGAGCACTGGACATGGATCTCGGTGAGAACGCTTCGGTGACCTATAGTATCTTGAAAGGTAAGAATATTGTCGTTAACGTTAGTTTAATTTATTTCGGATATATATTTCGATACACACTTGGAGAGAACGATTCCATCTCGATTACTTATTAATTGCCATGCGTGACTAATCGGTTATGCATTGCTCGTTTAATTGAAGGGACCTGCGCTTTTGCCTAGAATATATATGATTATATCTCGGTAAGAAAATATATAAATTATAATTATAGTTGTACGCGAGACCAATAATTGCGCTGCTTCGTTACGAGAATGCCGGTGTGGAGAGTCCGGAATAATAGAGAAATAGCGAGGAAGTACTTACGTGCCGGAGATTAGACAGCGCGGACTTAGTTTTTTACCTTAGGTCTTTCTTTCTCTCTTGCCTCTTGGAAGGGCGAGACTTTTTGAAACTTTAATAACCCAGCAGCAATTACAGAAACAATTATGCACGGTCTTAAAAGCAGTCGCGAGCGTTCTTGCCGAGTGTGTTATCTCTTAGAAACGTATCGTCTATAAAGAAGACGCGCGCGTCCATTCCACGCCGATTACGATCGGCATCTGATTTTCTCGATCACGTGTATCTATAGACATAGCAAGACAAACGAAAAGAAAATTTCGATCATAAGATTAAATCTTAACATCGCTTCTTCGAGGTAGCTGTACTGTCGAGGAACGATGTAATCTCTCCGTCCACGTCGAGTTCATTTCATTTCGCGCTCTATCGTGGCGTCTATTTCACGCATATATTTCTTTCTTCGAATAAATGATATATCGATATATCGAATAATTTTTCTATCTCATGTTGAGCATATTTAATTTAACTTTGCGTTAAATTTGAAAACGTCTTGAATTTTGTTCTCTTTGAATTTTTATTATTTAGAGAATATTTTTGATCGATATCTGATTCCGTTTTTCGCCTTAGACCGAGATTCAGATGGTTACAACGTCTTCACTATCGATCCGATCACGGGCATGATTAGGACCAAGGCCGTGCTCGATCACGAGGAGCGCAACGTGTACCGGGTGTCCGTAAAAGCTACTGATGCTGGGCACTTACCGCGACACAGCATCCGCGCATTACGAGTCGAAGTTTTGGCACTCGCGGATAATCGACCAACCTTCACCAGCAGCAGTCTTACCTTTAATGTGAGTATTATCGTTCTCACCATCCAGTGGAATTCATTTACTTGTCGAAATGTTTCTAATCTGCTGAAGATGCTATCGGTGTATAATTTTCTTTACAATTACTCATTAGAATATTGATATATAATTTAATTGCTTTTTTATATTACTAATTGTCGAAACTCGATATTTTACATTTAACTTTTTTTCTGATAATTTTTAAAAAATAAATAAAATAAATATTCTCATAGAATGTATGTAAATATTTATTATATTTCTCAGTTTTTATCATATTTCGAAATCTCTGTTTAGTTTTCGTTAATATATAAGTTAATATTAATAGAATTTAATATTAATTTGTAGTTAATATTAATTAGATTTTTACAAGAAATGTGAGAAATACAAAAAAAGTAGATAATTATACGGAAATTAAATAATACATGCTTAACGTATATAGGTGCGTGAAGATGCAAGTATCGGACATGAGGTGGGATCAGTGTCGGGGGCGGGTTCTGCAGGTCGCATGGCCTTCACCTTGGATTCACTGACGCCGATCAGCGAGTTTCCAGCTTTCGACGTCGATCGTAGCTCAGGCCATCTAGTGGTCGCGCATTCTCTTGATCGCGAGAACGTAAGTGAATACCACTTAGAGATTCGTGCGTTGGATACGACCTCGATCGGGAATCCTCAAAGTATCGCCGTCTCCGTGAAGATTATCATAGAGGATGCTAATGACAATGCGCCGAAATGGCCACAAGATCCGATAACTATTCGCGTGTCCGAAAAAGCGGCGATTGGCTCGACCATTTACAATCTTACGGCCAGTGATTTGGACAGCGGCTTGAACGGCGATCTCAGGTACAGTCTCGTAGATGAGTTTCCATCGAAGGGTTATTTTGCCGTGGACTCTTTGACGGGCGCTGTAACGTTAGCTAAGCAATTAGACAGAGAGGAAAGGGCGGATTACACTTTAATTCTCAAAGCATCGGACCGCGCACCACCAGGCGAGCAATTAGCATCTACAGTTACAGCGAAAATCATAGTCCTTGATCAAAATGACAACGATCCTGTCTTCGTCGCGCCGGATTCTAACGAGATAACCGTCCCATCGAATCTTTTGCTTGGTGAGTATTATATCTCGTAAGTCGTATTACAAATCTGTACATGAGATGTTTAATTAAAATTCTTGTTTTATTAGGTGCGAGCTTAGTAAGAGTCGTCGCCGTAGACAAGGATTCTGGTGACAATGGTCGAGTGTCTTATGTGATAACTTCAGGCAATGAAAAAGCATGTTTCACCGTGGGCTACGAGTCAGGCATCATAAGCCTCGCGAAGTCCGTTAAAACAACCACGAATCTCGAAATCACGGCTAATGATCACGGATCGCCGCCTCGTAAGGCGGTATTGAAGTTGAGTCTGATTCCTGTGACGACGCAGGCAAACGGACCTCCTCGGTTATTATTGCCCAATCCCATAGCCAGGATTTCCGAGAATTTGCACATTGGGGCGCCCGTACTGAACGTCGCGGGACCAATCGCGGATCAAGGTAAGAACAAAGACTTTCACCTATTTATTTATCATAATTGCTCGTACATTTTTGCCAACGAAATTAACAAAACTCAATCTACACAACGTATGGTCTGAATATAAAGTTATCATCAATTTAACGACGTCTACATTATCGAAACAGATTAAGCGATTTTCCGATTTATGATCTGAAGCAACTCGACATATAAAATACCGCACAAAGAGCAAAGCAAACAAACGTGGCTGAAACTTATCGATAGCAGGCATAACAAGCATCGAAAACAGAGGCTCCTTTTATACTTTACCCTTACTTTATCCTCATTGTTTCGATGGTGCACGCATAAAGTCGCTGCTGCACGATGCAGAAAGGACTCAATTTAGCGACGTGTATGGTGTGCACAGCTGAAATTATAATCTGCTATCTCTTGCTCTTTCGCAGGTGTCTCACTTGCATTCTGACGATCGCGATCTTTCTCTCTCTGTTTTCGATGTAGATAGTATACATCGGAGATGCCGCTCTGCACATGCCATCTACATATCACGCGCAAATCGCGTATGTACGCGCAAAGGCGAGCATAATCGTGAACACGCTCACCGCGGTTAATAGGAAAGCCCTGCTACGAAAATATCTCGAATAATTGCCTTGAATCCGGACGGGGTACCGGCATTATAGTAAATTTTATGAAATGACTCGCGCGACTCGGGCTCTCTCGAGGATCCTCGGTAACGCGTTCCATCCGGTACGTAAAACCCCGGAATACCCCGCTGCGGTGACTCCCCCCCTCTCCGTTGGTTTCTCTTCTCGATCGTTTTAAAAAGCGCGAGTCGAGGTCTCTACCGAGAAAATTCCGACGTAGCGACTTCGTCCGTCTCAGAGAATATCGACCCAGGGAACGCGTCCTCGGATTCTTCTCTCTCGGAAAACGCGATAACGAGTTTTTACAAGCGAGCTCGTTCGTATTATTTATGATACAAGTCGCATCATTTTTCGCGAGACGTGCGGCAACTCGCGCTAATTATCGTGGCGGGAATTTCACGAGTGAACATATTCATGGCATACATTAGTACTTTTGTAGCGAGGAACGTTAGGAGGTGAGTTGTGTCTTAAAGGCGCAAAATGTGAAAATAGTAAGTCGATAAATATCATAAATCGCTCATTTCAGAAATATCGATCCAACATGATCGCGCTTCGCGTATATTCGTACCAACACCTGATGAGATTTCTCATCGTATGAAGAAACTAGTGATAAGCAAAAAGCCAATTACGTCGTGTGAATGTCTGATAAACGATAGCATTCCACGCGATCGTTAAACGCACATATCCTTGAGCTCACACGTACGTATTTTGCGCATCATTTCTCCGCGCTAGATCCGCATACTTACACCCAACACGGCAGCGATCTGATCTAGCCGGTTTAAGTCTGATGAACAGTTAAACCGCGCGGAAGAGTCTGCGCTTCCCGTACGGTAAACTAGCAGCCACCGAAGCCGATGGAACATGGAATATCTCTTCTGGTTTTGCGCTTATCTATCGCGACACCGGAACAGCGCATTAACGCGCCCCGCCAAAGGATCCTACGTATCCCGAGGGACTAGTTGTATGCTAGGATATAGGAGAAGGGGGAATAGTATAGAGGGGGGGATTGCAAAGTGTATGCGCGAGCGGGTGGAGAACCAGAGGATATTAGAGAGGACGAGGCGAAACAATGGCCACGTATATCATCGTGCCGCCGGCCTGCCGCGGTACGCATAGGCAAATCACCGGGCTCCCACACCACACACCGACATCATCATACATGGCGATTCTCCGCGTGTGTACGTGTGATGCGAAGCTACGTTTCGCCGCTACCGGGCTGAAAACACGATGAAAGATGGTCACGAACGCGAGCGTGTTGCAAGTGGACGTATGTGTGTCGCGTCCCTTTGTTCTAAGTCCGCTAAAAATCCGACGAGCATGGGCTCGCTAAGTGAAATTTGAGAATCGAATGCATTAAAGTGTCCGCATTAGAATCGCGAAAATCGCGCTGCGGACGCTACGATTTTTTCGATAATATTCTATTATTAAGAATCTGCAGAAGACATTTTTTTTATGGTTGAAACATGATGATTTTTGTAAAGAATAAGTCGAATTTTATGTGTTGTTGTATAGCATATAATGAATTTTTTTATTTCGCTTTATATAGGTAACATCACCTTCACAATTCCGAAGGATGTGGCCTCGAACAAATTCACCATTGCATCTAATGGTCTAGTCACTCTTCGGGATACTCTGGATCGCGAAAAAGTTGCGCGTTATTCCGTTTCTATTCTGGCGAGATCCAGTAAACTTTTGGACATCACTACTCTGGAGGTGATTGTGATGGACGAGAACGACAACAGTCCGGAATTTCGGCCAGGTTCCTGTTACACTCTCGCTGTACCAGAAAACCAGGAAACTTCCGTGATCCACACCGTAGCTGCGACTGATCTTGATGAGGAAAAGAATGGCGAAATCTTTTACAGTATCGCAGGTGAGTTATTTTGCTGGATGCATTTAAAAATTGCAAATATAAGAATATAAGTGTTTAAGCTTTAATTTCATTCTCTTTTTCAGGCGGCAATATTGGTACCAAGTTCACTTTGAATCCAATGACCGGTGTATTGTCAATGTCAAATTTGGATCGCGAGACCGTACCCAAATATGTATTGACGATTTTGGCCAAGGACAGGGGAAGACCAAGTCGGGAAGCGCGCTGTAATCTCACTGTGATTGTGCTGGACATCAACGACAATGCTCCGATCTTCGTGCAGAATCAGTACATCGAATCTCACGCACATAACGGTTTTTCGTATGGATCGTCAAACTATCCGGCAAATTATTATCCCACCAAATATGTGACAACCATCTCGGAAGACGTTGCGCCGGACTCGAGCGTGATGTCCGTAAAGGCGACAGATCCGGATCAAGGTGTAAACGGAAAAATTACGTATGCCATCGCCGACGAGACAAGCTGGCTCTTCAGGGTCGACAACCTTACCGGTGTTATTACTACAGCTGGGTGAGTGCATACGTCGTCTGCTTTTTTACGTACACATTCTCTTTTTCCTTCTGTCATTCTCCGCCTTTTCCTTTTCCTTCTGATCTTTTCAGTTTCCTTTTCTTTCTCTTAATCTTTTTTCTTCTCTCGCTTTCTTTCCCTTTCCTTCCGTTTTGCTTTACGCGCAATCTTGGTTATCAACCGACTAATTTTATCTTGGCGTTAATTATCGCGACCTTTATTGCACATCCGATTAGGATCGCCCAGGGGAATATTAGCGGTCGGTAGTAGCGTCGTAAAGTGGGAAGTGAAGATACACACATACACAAAGAGGAACATGGAGACGAGCGAAAAAAGCTCGGCGTTCTCTACGAAGGTAGGGGAGAAAGGAAAGGAGCGGTCTAGGAACGTCGTAAAATTATAAAGTCAGTCGATGCGCTTTACGAACGACGTTCTATGGCCGATTAAACGATTCTGTATGCATAACCCGTCGACACAAACCAAGATACTCTTCCTTTTCCCCCGTCTCTCTCTCTTGTAGCCGCACGTTTGCTCTCTTGGTCCTTCGTCGTGTCTGTCCGTTCTTCTCGGTCCGTATGTGTGTCTCTTATGATTACGTGTGCAATAAACTGATACTCGAAACGTCATTAAAGCGAAGACTTTCTATGGCTTCTGTTCATCCTTCCAAACAGCAAGGTCGTGGTTTGTTAATTAATGGATCATTTCGATGCAAGCTACCGTGAACTTTGATTTAGCGAAATCTAACTCAACATAGTGTAATCATTAATTGTTTAGTATAATTTTAGACATCGTAAGAAAATTTCATTCAGAAGGAAGATCTTAATTACTAATTGTGTATGCGTGAATTTTGCAGAAGTCGAATTCATTGCTGAATTTTACAGAATATTAAATGCTTATGGATGATTGAATGATAGATGATAGTTTCATAGTAATTAAAAGACTTTCCATGCTTGATATTTTCTTTCTTTCAAAGTGACTAATAGAATATTCCTACGCTGGAAATATATATACACTTTGCTTGCCATATTAATATTACGTTAATATTAATATTAGTATTATATACTATTTATTAATATTAGTATTATATATATTATTTATTATATTAATATTAGTATTATATATTATTTATTATATTAATATTAGTATTACATATTATTTATTATATTAATATTAGTATTATATATTAATATAATTACCAAACATTCATGGCACCGATATCACACCCAACATTGCAATTGATTATTCGCTTTAATTCTGTCATTTGGTCCTCGATCTTGATTTACGATTACGATACAATTTTGCTCGATTACAACCGTTTATCTGATTCTTATCTCTACTTTCGCTTTTTATCACTTGTGTTCTCGTGCGCCAGAGATCAGTGTATCAGTGTACCGAATGTAGGAGGAAAGGGTGGGAGTATACTAAATCGTGGAGGAACGAGAGAAAGCGCTGCTCAACGATACAGAGAGTGTCGGTAGCCATGAGAAGAAGCGCAGGGGGGAAGAGGCTGCATACTTTTGCATCGCGACAGCCGTGTGTCATTTCAGCGAGATGCCATGTGGCATTTCAATGCATTATTTCAACCGGCAAAATGTCTGATATGCAAAACCAGATCTCGCTCGAGCCGCTCTTTCGCTGTACGTGTATCTCTCCCTCCTGCATCGTTCTCTTCGCTCTTTTTGAATGCGGTCATCTCTGTTTCTCTTTCTCTCTCTTTGTCTTCTCTTCTTCCTTCTGTTTTTAGTATCCTCTTCGTTCGATCAGTAGCCGCGGACCCGGCTTTCGTGTCGCCTTGTTGCTGTTGTTCTTACTGCACAACGGTCGTCCCTGTTACCTTTGGAAGCCGGCCGCTCTGCGGCACGAGAAGGTGTACGAAACATTTTTCCCTTTTTCATTCCTGGACCACCCGGTAGATACAGGTGCGGGTCAAACGAGGACCAGTCCTCTTTAAAATGACTCGATAAATAGCGCGAACCGGTAGCAAGGACGACGAGACGATACCGGAGATGATGTGTCAACTGATCTCGCTGATCTTCCGCAGATAATTGGAATATAAATCACTTTCGTGAAAGTTGTCTGAACTCTCTTCTAACAGAATATACACTCCCTTATTTCTACATCTCTTTCATATTGATCCTTATGTACATATTTGGTTTATTTATTATTTGAATGAAAGTGTACGTAATATTTTTAAAATTGACTTTTACTTTTTTTGAAAGAATTATTTTCAGTTAAAATGTTTTTTGTGAAACTATTATTCTGTTTAATAGAGATAAAGATTTGTAAAACCACATGATTTGCATGAACGGCAGAAACGGCGAAAGATAACTGCACTTCGCTTTGCGCAATCGTAAATAAGCGTATCGAACTCGTGCACTACCGGCGTCCGATCATTATCCCACGCTTATTAAGAGTTATTGCGAGCATTACATTACATCGCAAAGGCGCTGGGAACTTCTCTTGCTCGACGGTTGTGCGAAATTTTATAATAACATTGTTTTCAGATATAATTTTTGTGAAATATCCGCGAATTAGTTTTAATAAATAATTGTAACGAAATCATGATTTACAGAAATAATCTATAAACTTTTTGCGAATACAATACATCGTTAAAATAACATAATTATCATGATTCTAATAAATAATAAAACATAATAATAATCTAATTTTTTTCTCTGGATTGGAATAAACAATGAAACATTGGATAAAATAAAACTTTAGAAAAAAGTAAATTATTGCAAATTTTTTCTCTCTCATTAAATTACATAATTTCTCTTTTTATATATATAAATGTCAATTTCTCTCTTTAATTAGAATTTGTATCAATCACTCTATAATAACTAATTTTTATTTGTTCTAGTTCACTGGACCGCGAAAGCAAAAGCAGATATCTCTTTCACGTAGTCGCTACAGATAGTGGCAAGTACGATGCGAAGAGCACCTCGGTAAGCATTGAGATCAACATTAGCGATGTAAATGATAACGCGCCGGTTTTTGCGGAATATCCCTTTCGGACGCGCGTGCCCATCGGTATACAGCCCGGTCAGAATATTCTACGGGTGGTAGCCAAGGACGTCGATGATGGGGCCAACGGAGATATCGTGTATTCGTTCTTGCACGAGCAGGAAAAGCCAAAGTTTCGGATACATCCCAGCACCGGCGAAGTAACCGCGAGTTTGTCGCTATCTCAGGACAACGGCAAGATCTATCACTTGGAGGTATTAGCCAGGGACAAAGGAAATCCTCCAAAGAGCGCCAAGGGTTTAATCGAGCTTCAGATCGGCGATCTCTCAGATTTAGCACCAGCCCTCAAATTTCAGAATGATACATACAACGTCGTCGTTCAAGAGAACTCTGTAACCGGGACGGAGATCGCTCAAATCACTGCAGTGCGCACCGATGGCAGAAGACAGCATGTATCCTACTCGATCGTGTCGGGGAACGACTTCGATACCTTCGCGATCGATGCAGGTACCGGTTTGTTGCGCGTCAATAATCCTACAAGACTCGACGCAGAACTCTGGAACGATATAACGGTAAAGGACTTTAGCGAAGAGTTACCGTACGATTCGACACGAATCAATTCGTGGGGTAGATCTCTAGAGGATCAGGAGCCTCGAGAAAGTTCGAGACACGTACTCAATATTATGGCAAAGACAACAGGACCAGATGTCCTGGAGGCATACGTCAAGGTGATCGTCAGATTATCCGATGTCAACGATAATCCGCCAATCTTCACGCAAACGCAATACTCGGCTACTGTGCTTGAGGGCAATACTAAAGGAGATTTCGTCGTAAAAGTAAGAGTTTTACAAGATTTTACAGAATCTTCATGTTCGATGCATTATATAGTATTCTTTTTCAAGCATTAAAGTAAAAATAGCAAAATATTAGTAAGAAATAAACATTGTCTTATATGTCTATTATTTATGGCTCATCTAATATGACTCATGGAATCCTTACATAAACATTCATGTATGTGTACAAATTTACGAGTCATATATATTTTAGTAAATGTTAATATTTTTAATAAAGAAAATATCTAAATAAGTAGATATATAATATATATAAGGCAGAATCGTTCAAATATTGAATATTTATTTTTTCTGTTTATTTTATAACAAATTGATAAGATATAAAAATAGTTATATTGATATAATTAATTTATACAATTGATTATAAACATCTTTACATTTATTAATATTTATTGTTGCAGCTTTCAGCAGATGACGCTGACCAAGGTCTGAACAGCAGGATTTTATATCATATTGTGGATGGTAATCCGGATAATGCCTTCACTATAAGCCCGCCGCATAGTGGAATCGTAAGAACCAATATAGTCTTAGATCGTGAAGTCCGTGAAAAATATAGGCTGACCATTATTGCAACCGACCAAGGAAATCCACAATTAACAGGCACGGCTGCACTGAGCGTCCGTGTAATCGATATCAATGACAATCAGCCCACGTTCCCAAAACACAACATTATTTCAGTTTCTGAAGGTAAGTCATAAAAACTAATACTATAATATAAAACCTAGAATTTTTAATATTTTTAAAACATCAATATATGTAAAAAATTTATTTATTATTAAGAGCGTTATCTGTAATACGTTTAAGTAACAAAATTAGATAAATATAATATTCAAGTCATTAACATTATTATGCTTTAGTATCTAAAACTATTGAGCTTGTAGTATTTGATGTGCCATCAATTTTCCATTTAAGTATCCGGTCTTTGCATTTTTCAAATTGTGGCACCATTTCCTCAAGACTTTTGTCACCATCTATAATCATAACCGGTGCTGGTAAAGAGAATAAAGTTTGTCTATAGAGCCAATCATCATGAATTTCATGGATTTGTCTTAGATATTCCAATGGTACAGAGTCTTCTTCTTTGCGTCCACGTGCCTGCATTCTTTGATACACAACTTCTGGCGTTGTTCTTAGATACACTAAATTGCAAAATGCTATTTAATACAAAGTTAAAAAAAAAATATTTTCTTCACTTTAGTAAACAAATGTACCTATTAAGTCTGCTCTTATATTAGCATTTTCCAAACACCAATTGTACCATTTTTCTAAAATTATCACCTCTACATCCTGTATCATGTTTGTACGCTTCATATTCTCTAAGAAGCATCTTGCACTGAATATGGATCTTTCCATGATCTTATAGGGAGATGATGTGCTCATAGTGTGTAATTGTAATCTAGTTAATTGAGCATATGATTGAAATAGAAAGGCATAATTTATCGGGTCCTTGTACAAGAGATCCTAAAAAGCATTATGCAGCTTTTTTTAAATATCAATTTATACAGATGTATATGTAGATATTTAAATAATTATTATTGAATATTGAATTTTTTAAATTACACGATTCTGCCATATATATTTGTGACGTTTTACTCTAAGATATATCTGAAATATGTTAGCTAGAAAAACTGAAAAACTTACCAGCAAATTTACTCCAGCCACATTTCGCCATAAGTCCACTGGTTCTTGCAAAATTGTAGCATTGTTAAAGTTTTGAAAATGATTCAAAAATGTTGTTTTACCACTTCCAATATTTCCTTCGATACAGATTGTAAATGGATTGTTATAGAATTTTCGTGGGGAAGCCATTTTCTTGATACAAATGCAGCAGGGTCTCCCTGAAACAATACATTGTTCCTAATGTAAACTTGTTGCATCAATGAGAATCAACATCAATCAATAATCGAGTTATTTTTCGAAATTATCAGCCTATCAAAAACAATTTTATTGTCTTTCTGTATAATGAAGTAAAAAGTTTTCATACCTATTAGTATCATACTTATTAAATCACAAATTATACGGATATCATAAGTAAAATAGTACCTATGGTAATTATCTTGATGATAACTGTATTCGTTTTACTGCCTTTTATCGATTTATACAGATAATGTGCGTATATTTCTTGAGGTTAGCGAACACGGTTGTTCCTTCTTATCCTTTGTATTATCATATATATTCGTCACGTAACACTATAAAACTGTTTGAAAAACACATAACGTAACTACACAATCGACTAACGCTGACTGGTGACGATACACTGCCACATAAGACGGTTAGGCGCGAGGAGTATGTTTCCCGCCGAAAGTGTACATCGCCATGTTTGACGTCACGTGCAAAACCTGTTTCATGTTTCACGTACATACGTTCGATGGGCGCGATCAGCTGTGTGCGCAGCTACTCTTCGCGGGAAAATTAAATATGCAATAAGACATTATTAATGTTACAATTATTTATTAAATTAGATATGCATATCTCAGTTAGAGAAAACAAATTATATTTAATATAAAATTAATATAATTATATAATTTATATAATTATATTTAATATAAAAATATCTAAATTTATTAACTTATAAAGATGGTTTAATATCAAATTATATATTTTTTAGTCTTCTTTTTATTAATTAATCATTCATGAATCTTTCAAATTTTATTATATTATAAAGTGTAGTATTCGAATATTCAAGATATTTCTTTTCAATTGTAATTTATTGCAAAATGATATGATAATCGCAAACTTTTTCCAGTGTATAGTAACGTGAATCATCTGTTTTGTGCCATAGCTTTATCTCAGAGACAATCACATTAGAATAGCAAAGCACTCATTAAAACACTTGGTGCCATCGACAGTAGCATAGCAGTATGATAATCCTGTCTATGATAATTCTGTCGATGATAATTCTGTCGACGATATCAGGTAGGATTTCACCCACGGTGACGATATAGACGATAGCTCGAGTTTCATTCTGGTCGTTGGTTCTCGAATGTCTACCACGTGATTCCCTCTCGAAATGCAACGGGTTTCATGATGGGTTCACTCCTCTCAAGGTCGCCCACGTGCGACGATAGAAGGAGAGGCAGAAAGGCTGCATGCCAGTATATGAGAGAAGGAAAAAGAGTCGAGAAAAATGCATTTATTGATATCGCGACGTTATTCATATTTCGAGATCATGCCATCATCTGTATAAAGATATCTAAATGAGTAATTCGAGAAGAATTAAGATGAAAATTATAAACAAAAAACAACACATTATCCACGTATAAAATTAATGCTAAATATCAATTATAACTTAAAATTAATTTTAAATTAATCTGTGTACACAAGAATTTTTTATGCTCAAGAAATGTAATAACATAAGCGCAGTCAAGTATAGATTAATATTTTTAACAGAAGGTAGACGTACCTTATATTTGAAATAAAATTTTGATTTGCAACGAAAAGAGAATTTAATATTTGGAGAATGATATATACAGGATGTCTCATAACACACACACACACATACACAAACGATGGCGAAGGTGAATCGATGAAGAGCAAGAGAAGGCAGTAGTAGAGAAGTATCCAACTGCATTGAGAGGGCGGGAACGCATTCTACTCTCCAAGTATAAAGTTAAGTGGCAAAGGATTTATGCCGGCATTAAAGTCCAACTGTTCGGGACAATCTGCATAACTTAAGCGAGGCTGCCGAAGCGCGCGTTCGGTGGCTTGGCTTCTCCGTTTCTTTCTCTCTCTCTGTTCTGGGCACACGAGTTCCTCTTCGGCCTTTCTCGCGTCACCATATTGTTCCTCATTGACAGATACGATTCAATGGAACGGCACGCAAGACCGAGGTGGCCGCGAGTTTGACGTACAAGCGCCAACCTCGCGCTACCACTTCTCGAGGCGCAGAAAAAGAAGGTCTCGTCCCGTCCCCTGTGAATTTCCTTTCGATCGTCATCGGTCCGCAGCTAGTCAACGAAGATGACGCGACGAAAAACGAGTGGTGATCGAGTAAATTCAACCGCATCATCGAATAAACGAAGGCTGCGATGCGGTAGTTTCGATGATGCCTCGAACGGGTCATTTTTTTTCTTTTCTTACGGATCCATTTCTTTCTATTGGATGGAATTTCCAATAGCGAGCAAGTGGCGAGTTACGCACTTCTAGCAATCGTTGGAAGACTAGGATATAATTTATAGAGCCTTTTATTGCACTTGTATTTTTGCTTTTCCTTGATACCGCTACTGTTGCTACGCTGCTTCTTCTTCGTCTTCTTCTTTTGAGAACGTCCGAGAATCGTAGGCATCATATACTGAGTTTGTAATGGCATAATATGAGATTACTATCTAATTTGTACCACCGTAAAGCTCTTCAGCCTCGGTGTAAACGAGACTGCCACATCACGTTAACACACACGCGACGTCGCGTCCGGCAAAATTTATTTAACGTTGCACTCCTTTGGAAGTTCATTGCTATCTTGCAGTTGCAACCGCGACAGTAACGGAATTATATCGTAGAGATATCTAGGCTTTGCCTATAGAGATAATAAATGTTTCATAGACATTTACAGATATACACTTTCAATATTCTGTGTCGGTGGATATCATTTCGATCGTGTCATAGTTTTGTGGCTAATGCATTTTATTGTATTGAAAACAAATTTGATGAGAAATATGCATCATCGTAACGCGAGACGTGACAAGATAATGAACCTGTTTTAATATCTTCTAGCAAAACATTCCTTACCGCATCTTTACGATAATCGCAACCTGTCATTCTCACGTAGTGATTTATGCTTGTAAATTGCTAATTGATAGCGCAACTCGGCATGAAAGGGTTTAGCAGAAGTAGTCTATGTTCTTGTTATATATATATATAGATTGCATCCTTCCACGATAGCGATATCGATTACGTTTAATCCGTACGAGTTGGATTTTTAATGCAGCCTGCTCCAAACGTTTGTAATTACTGCGGCAGGAATAAAGGATGTAATTATGATCCAAACCAGGAGGCGCGGCTCATCGATGTTGGATGGGCCTTGCCTCTGCTCTCATAAGGCCTTTGTACTCGGCTATATGTACATTTGTGGGAGGATTTAATCGACAGCGTCGATCGGGTCGATTCCGAAAGTGGCACTGACACGAGAAATCGAGAAACAATGGTGGACCACCGACGAGTGTGCTTTCCATACAAGGAACATAATGTTGCCGGACACTGCTCGAGTGTGTTTGTAGATTCAATTCGTGAAATGCGAGGAACATCGAGATACTAAACGTTACCTTGATATAGATAATGAATCAGATACTTAAAATTCCGCAATGAAGTTATACGTAAAACATGTATCTCCTGTAATAATTTTTCGAGAAAAATTTCAGTACTTCATTCTTGACGGAACTCTTCTTCATCTTTGACTTTATCGAAAGGATATTTACATCGTTGAATCTTCTTTCATTTGCTTTGCAACAATCTCTATCTCAAGCTGCACTCTGCAATTTTAGTTTCCAATTTATCAAGTCTAGGATAACAGAGGGTTGAAGCTGTAACAGAGTCATGTCGCGTGTACGTATTCGCATTTATAGACGGCGGGATCGCTCCGGAAATCGATTTACACGACTTTAACGATCTCTCGTGAAATTTACGAGCGGTCGCAGCCGCGTGTTCCGACTAGCCCTCATGCTAACCCCCTCGAATACATCGCACCGGTATAGAATAATTCTTTTACTGCCGCAGGTGTTGCTATGCCTGACGTATATCACCCGAGCTCGGTCGTGGAATCAAAGTCCGGTCTCTGATGATATGCCTCTTCCTAACTACGTATTCGCATATCCGTTTATCTCTTAGCAAGTCGAGGAACCCCTTTTGAATTGTTGAAAGCTACATAGAATATATTTATCCTTATATTATATATTTATTTTTATTTCGCATAATTTTTTGCTACATTCCTATAAGTGTGTTTTACTTGTTGTACATTTCTCATATCGGGATGTTGATTTATTTTTAGCATGATAGAAGAGCGATATACTGGAAGAATGAATAGTAGGAATGTAAGTAGCATCATTTAGAAAGAGAGCTTCCGTTCGATTGTGATTATATGTATTACGATGACTTATGAGAAGACATAAATTCATATTTCAGGACAAATTGCGTCCAGGTATGATCAGAGGTGCATTCGCGACGAATTGCGTTACGAGATACGTGTCGCATCGTGTACTTTGTGCTTGCAAATTAGTTCCTACGTTACGGTTTTCAATTTCTTCACGGACGAGATGATATTGTATAATTTCATTCACTCGGCGACTGTGTGATCCGATCGTACCTCGCGAATGAGAAGCTCATCCGTTTCTTCAGGCGGATTCGTTCGACCGCTTCTTCTTAGCACGGTCAAGATAAAACGATTCGATAGTACGGATTCAATGCATTTTAAGCACGACCCCCTTGAAGTGTCTTTAACTTCGCGGAAGAGCACGCCCTGATCCGTAGGCTACACGTTCGCGTCGTTTATGTATCGCGCACGATCATTTCTCGGTGACAAAGTGCCTTCGGGATGAGGACAAAAGAACAAAATCAATGGCACTTTTATGCATAAGGATGCAATTCGTCAGTAGCATCGCAATTTAGAGCGATAAAGCCGTCGCTCTTCATTGTGCTCGAGATCCAGCTTTCTTCATCTTCAAGCCAAGCATATTCTATTCAATTTTGCTCACTATTAAATATCAGAATAGCCCTTGCGATTATTCAGTTGTTGCAGTTATAACATATATTTCACTTACAGATAACGACAAATGACAGACGCATTTATTTCTTTCATCATTAACAAAATTGCTAAAGTGGCGTCTTTTTAAATTTCAGGTACAGCCATGGGAACTGTACTAACGACCATGACGGCGAATGACGTTGACAGTTCACCGGTGTTGACGTATCGATTCGGGAACTTGACGAGTCCGGGACCCTTCAGCATCGACCGATATGGTGGCAAGGTCGTTTTACGGAAGCGTCTGGACGCCGAGACGCGCTCCGAGTATAGTCTCCAGGTGATTGCCAGCGATGGAATTCACGAGGCGACGACCGACCTCGTCGTTCGTGTGACCGATCTCAACGACAACGCGCCGCGATTCGAACAGGCTGTCTACGTGGCTGTTCTCTCAGGTACGTATCGAAGGCCCGATTCTGCCCTTTTTGTCCGAGATGAATGAGAACGAACCAGGTAGCAGGCGAATTCGCAATCCGAAACTTTGACGATGATCAGACGCGATCGTCGCGGTGGTTATCGCGTAGCGTTCGCTTCAGCGAGCAGGTGATAATTCCTTTGATTTATTGAGGAACGATCGTTCCCGAGATTGCGAGATTGGTTGTTCCGCGAAGCGGTAGCGTAGGACGGAATCGCGGAACGATGAGATCCTTCGACGGTTTCGCGGTTTTGTTGCTACATCTTTGAAGCACCACGAATCTCCTGCGGCTCACCGCGAATATACTAGGTGTGTTATTAAAATACATATATTAAAGTCTACTCGTTAATGGTCTGTTTATACAAATTACATGGTGAAAATTCCGACAATTCTAATAGCTCATTTAGACTGCAAGTAATTTATTTGCTGCGTATTGTTTCTATAGTTTATATCTTGTAGTTTTTTTTGACATCTACATCACGAAATTATAGTTTTACTATTGATCGATATTTATTATATTATTTATATCGTCAGATTATTATTGGTCGCGAATTCTGACATCCGCTAGACCATGTTTCGATGTAGTATCCTGTCGAATGTAGTATAGAGGCATAAAGAAATAAGGAAAGAGAAGAGACGGGAAGATACAGACGGGCTCCTCGGCGCGAAATAAACGCGCGTTTAAAAACTGGTTTTTAGTAGACACGCGTTGTCCTGTTGTCCATGTTCCAAACTCGAATTGACACTGCGCCGAGATAAAGCGCGCGAGAAAGAGCGGGTAAGGGATGAGAGGAGAAAAGAGAGAGGCCGAAAAAGAAGACGGGTACAAGGAAGACCGATGAAAAGCTAGTTGTTCGAATGCGGGAGAGACAAAGATACAGTATATTGGGAGAAAGGAGGAGAAGGAAGAGAGAAGGAGAGAGATAAAGAGGGAGGAGAATGCAAGATCGGCAGGATAGGGCGGAGAGCGAGAAGCACAGAGAAAGAATGGTATGGATGGGGTGGAAGAACTGAGGAGGATTGTGACTCTTCGCACATAAATAAACGTGAGGACACTGATTGCAAGGCAGCCGAAAAGCCGCCTTCGCTTGTCCGCCGCCTGAAATCACTAACTTCGCGAAAGGAGATTCTCTTCGAAACTTATTAAAAATACATAGACCCGCAATAGTACATTTGGTTGAATGGCGGAGAGATAGGATGGGAAAGATAGATTGGCAGGTGCTGGATGTGAAAATGTTGAAAGAATTCAAGCGGGAAGCATTTGCATCTTTTTCTCCTTTCATTCCATACATCGTTCCACGCGTTCGCGAAAAGCTATGTTGCGTTTCTCATCGGAGACAGGTACGGGTTGGTAGATCGCAGATACGATCGAACGAAGAAGTTTCGGTGAAAGTTAATGAAGCGTCTGTGCGGTTAATGAGATCATTATAGATGTTTATTATAAAAGTGATAACATCAAGATAGATCGAAGACACTTTGTTCTCGTCGTATTTCCTTAAAATCGTGCGAATTTTAATTAAGTACTCGAGAATTATTAAATATTATCCTACAAATATAATTCGTCTTCTGAAAAAAAGTTTTTCATTGCCGAAATTAATAAAAGAACGATATTAAAAGATATATAAAATAATGATAAAAAGATTATAATAAAACCGTACTAGATATTGAAAAATCCAAATGTGCTAAAGACGAGTAAAATAAAATAAAAAAAAATGAAACATAGATGTTACTAGAAATAACTTATTTCAGTGAGAGAGATTGATTGTGCGTGCGATCACACGTGTTGTAATAAATATCCAAATCCTGTCATTTTTTTCGCAAAGGTTTTTCTTTTTCAAGAATGTCCTTCCTTCTGGACGCAATCCCTGAGGAGTTCTGTCCTTCTAACATATTCCCGACTCTCTTCCATCGGCCTCGTGCACTTCGGGCTATGGTTTGGTATTAATATTAAGTTATCCGTGATTTGAAATGCATTGAAGTGATTTCTATACTATGCACCATCGAGAACCGGATCCGGATAGTACCGCACAGCACGATAACTGGTTATTATTTCATATTTCCGTTGATGTCAAAAAGGCTTATCTTTATCCTTAGTTGTCAAAAAAAAAGATATAATATCGGTGCTGGTCAATGGTAGTTGAAGACGGATCGGCAACAAAAAGATATAGAAAGTATCTGAACTCGTGCTCGTGATCTCTTGATCTTTCTCAGGCTCTGTCCAATGGTTCTCCGTACAATGTAACTCGATAATTGATCTTGCGAGAATGCTTCTGGAGTTTCTGTTCTTCATTCATAAATGAATGCCGTCTCATGTGACTTTATGTGACAGATCTCTCTTATAATTTCACAGAGTTACAAATATCTTTCTTTTTATTCATGAAAATTGCTGTATTTGCTATTTTATGTATACGAGATTGCGTTAACATACTATATCAAATATCGATTTTTTTTTCAGAAGGGCAAGGCAATCTACAGGAAATCCTGACGGTAAATGCGACGGACGACGATCTTTCGGAGGAGAACAGCCGAATACGATACTATCTGTTGCGATCTGTCAAAGGATTTTCGGTACATCCTGTGACTGGTGTTCTGACTGTTAATCGCACGGCGATACCCAGACCAATACCGAAAGAAATGGACTTGGCGATCGTCGCGGAGGATTATGGCAAGCCTTCGGCATCATCGATATGTTCAGTTATTGTGCGACTTAGCAGTTTAAAGAACGCCCTTCCAGGACGGGAGTATAAGGTTACAGTGAAAGAAAATTCGCCAAAGGGTACGACACTAATGAAGCTCTCCGATGTAGATTTGTTGGATGGCGCTATCGTTGCAGGCGACGATAGCGGAGCGTTCGAGATATTTAGAGGCAAATTGATTCTATCCAGGACACTTGATCGTGAAATCAAGGATAGGTAAGTATCGATTTTGATTTAATGTTTTTTGATATTTTTTTCCATTTGTTGTTTTATATTTTATGTTTAATATATTATCTAGTTCTAAAATTATATGCATTTTTTGCAGATACATATTGCGCTTGAGCAGTAAAAGCGAAAACATGACGACGGATTCGCTGATGGGAGAAGAACCGGTAACAGTAACAATCATCGTGGAAGACGTCAACGACAATTATCCATACTTCCTGAAAGAATTTTATCAAGTGTCGATCAAGGAAGATGCTCCACGTGGAACTACTGTTGTCGTTTTACGTGCCAAGGACGATGACTTGATTGACAGCGCAGCAGCTACTTTGATGTACGACATTACGTCAGGCAACGACGGTGGTCTCTTTCGGGTTGAGAGAATGACAGGCGCCGTTTTAGTGAACTCCACGCTCGATTGCGACCTTGAGGCTGAAGTCCACAATCTCGTAGTGATGGCTTGCGACAGTGATCCAATATTGCCTTTTTGTGCGCTCGCCATACTTCGGATTCACCTGGAAGATGTAAATGACAACTCACCAAAGTTCCCCGTTTCCGAATATCTCCAATTTGTTGGTGAGAACGAGCCGATTGGCACGATAGTATTTTCATCGCGTGCCTCAGATTTAGATCGTGGTATTTTTGGATCATTGAATTACTCTATCGTATCTGCCGCTGCGAGCGGATTCTCCGACATCGACGACAGTTGGAAGCTGTTTGCGGTTGATGAGAAATCTGGCATTGTTACCACTCGTGCCGTATTTGATTACGAGCAACGGAATCGATATGCTTTCACGTTACGTGCCACAGATATGGGCGGTCGTTCCGCTGCTGTGCGCGTTAGGGTAGAAATCGATTCAAGGGATGAATTCTTTCCGCAATTTACTGAAAGAATGTATAGATTCGGAATAAAAAGCGGAGTTTCGATATTGCCTGGCACCGTAATCGGTCACGTGACAGCAACTGATCGTGATAAAGGGCCTGACGGCCGAGTAGTGTATCAGTTAACATCTCAGCATCCATATTTCAAATTAAATCGCACTACCGGCGCATTGATCGTGAAGCAAAAGTTAATGCATATCGATATGGGCGTAGAAGAGTCATCGAGATTGGTAGTTAGCGCGAGTTCCGGTAGGCAAGGTTCCCTGTCTAATATGACGGTAGTGGAGATCATTCTGATGGACGACAACGAGCCGAATGGAATTAGAGGAGCTATTACTCTAGCAACGGATGTCGGCTCAAATAATATGGCAGTAGCCACTCCTAGCGGCTTGGCCGATTGGGGTCTAGGTCTGTTGATTGCTCTTCTTCTTCTCATTCTCGCCTTTGGCGCTATTTTCCTTTATCTTCACATTCGTAATCGTCGTCACAAAAAACCCGGCACGAAACCGGGTTTGAATGGCGAAAGCAACGCTACCGCGTCCAATAGCTACGTGGATCCGAGTGCCTTCGACACCATTCCGATTAGAAGTGTGACCGGAGTAGGTGCGAACGGAAATAGCAGTTCCGGAAGCGCTGGAGGAGCAGGCAGCGCATCTTGCCAATTTGCTCCTCCAAAGTATGACGAAATACCACCATACGGAACATCCGGTCAATCCGGGCAACAACAGGCTACCTCCGAGCTTTCCGGAAGCGATCAGTCGGGTTCCTCTGGCAGAGGTTCCGCCGAGGATGACGGCGAGGATGAGGAGATCAGAATGATTAATGAGGGTCAACAAACCGGCGATTCCGCGAGCGACCTTTCGGTTCACAATACTCAGGAATACTTAGCTAGATTGGGCATCGTGGATCCCCCAGCTGGTACACCTAGAAGACCTCCCGAAGCTCTTCCCTTGGATAGTCTACATTTGTTTGAAGACGAAGCGAGCACCGAGGCGGATATAGCAACGTTGATCTATGGCAAGATTGGAGAATCTGGACGACCCACTTCAGGCCTGGAAGTACCGGGTGGACCGTCGATGAATGGCTCTTTGAGCTCTATCGTGCATAGTGAGGAGGAACTTACTGGCTCATACAATTGGGATTATCTATTAGATTGGGGACCGCAATATCAACCATTAGCCCACGTGTTCAGCGAGATTGCCAGGCTGAAGGACGACGCTGCCAGTGTTCAAAGTGGAAACTCCGGCAGCAGCGGCAAGACCAAGTCTGTACATAAAGCACCGCCACCACCATTGCTTACATCCGTCGCTCCGAGGTCATTGGCGGCGCCAGCATTGGCGAGAGGCATCTTGCCGAGGTCACCAATTAGCCACGATGCCTCTACTTTTCCCTCTGCCGCTCTAAGTCCGAGTTTTTCACCCTCTCTATCACCTCTAGCTACGAGAAGCCCCAGTATCAGTCCTCTCGTGCCACCGGCCACCCAGAGATCCAGTCAAAGTGCCAACCGAGGAATTCCCGTCACCGATGCCGAACTGAGGATTTGAAGACATTTAGATTTTATTTCGGCGTATCCCCTGCGTACAAGTTAGTAGTGTTAATTCAGTAATGACTCGCCGAGTAAAAGATATTGGTAAGAATGCGGTGCCTCATGTAAAGCAGTGCGAATGATATTCCTGTTAATATACATTGTTTAAGTGCGATTGAATATATGAATGTTGCTTTCTTAGATGTGAATGATGTATTATAACTCGTGGGGTAAACGAGTAATTTTAATTTAGGAATTTTAATTTGACCGGCCATCGAAGAAGAATATAGTGATCGAATTGTTTTCCTCGTCATACGCAAACATTGTCTTCCCGCGATCAATTATTATTTGTAATTAATTAACGAAATATCGACTATATAGATAATTTTAATTCATCGCGCAGGATAAGAATAATATATTTCACTCGCAGAAGTGAAACAGTAAGCGGGAAAGCGGCGATTGCGTCTCGACGATTCCGTATTTATTATACAATACGGCTGCATCCTTTGTTCGGATCACAATCGATAGGCAATTGAAAGGAAGTATTTTTTTAAACGGAATTGTGTAAATATTCGCCGGCTGCGACGGCGTTTAGTCATTAAGTAGCATTGTAAATATTAATTCACGTGAACAATGATGCTGTCATAATCAAAAAGATAGACTGTCCTTATATAAACCGGAAACTGCGAATGATCGCGCCGTGTTTGTCAAGTTGCGTGAATATGTACAGTAATAATCTACTTTTATAATATTGTGAATTGATATACGAACATGGCGATATCATTCAAGTCGAAAGAAAAAAATACGCTACTACGAGTGAACTGATAACGCCGGATTTCGTGGTAGTGCGTCTCTAAAGCCGCCCGTATAACTTCGTTGATTAATTGTTACTTCATTCCTGTCTTCCGAACGCGACTTTGATGTAACGGAGGATGAAATTTCAGCCAGGTACATATATGTATACATATGCACTGATTATATATAAATGTATGTCATATTTTGTATAAATCGTTCTGTGTACAAAGACTCTCCCGAGCCGAGGGCCTTACCGCGACGTGGGCCTTAAATAAATGAATTTTTTAGGAAGAATTTTTTTATTTTGCCCGATTTCTCATCTCACATATATAAGTAAAATTAATTTCTTATTTGAGTAAATTAATTTAATTGCCAGTTTTTTGAACTTTTGTTTAAAATACATTATTTAATTAGGAAATTAAACAAGAAGAGACAGGGATTTGATGATATTTAATGAGAAAGACAAAGTGTTTCCACATATAAATCTGTTTTTTGTTATACAACACGTTGAGCCTTATAAGTATACATGTATTTTTCAGATTATTTTGATAAGTTTATTTCATGTTCTCTCTGCCCGTTTTATTCCCATGACTACATTACGTTGTCTCACTTTATCAATACTTGAGTATAAAACGTGCCGAGTAACAGAAATATCCGATGTATCACTCGGAAGAATGGCAAGATGCTCTAAATAAAATTCAGAATTAACATCATTATTAACAAAACTCTGTTATTATAAATTAATCAAAAGAGAACTTATTATATATTAATTATGTGTAATTAACAACGCTTTCTTCTCTGTCTTTTACATAACTAAACTACTGATTCTTCTAATTTCTTTAATTTCCGATTTATTTTTATTCAGATAAATGATTAATTTCCATATATGTATATATGATAAAATATAAATGCTATTTCTACGATTTATTTTGGTTAAGTTTATATTTGGTGAACTGCTTACTTTGAATAATATTTAAGCTAAAATAATCTAATTCAATGTAGCTAGTATTTGTTTTGGGGTCGAGTAACAACAAGTGATTTTCTTCGTAAGGACATATGAAATAATGTTATTTATTCACCCCGGAAAAATTAACGATGAAAATCTAGAATAATTGGTTGCAATTTATACGAATGGATAAACATTTAAAATTACTAAAAACGCTAATAATACTATGTACTTGAATAATTTGTACATTTAAACAGTCTCTACGATGAAACACGTATCGACCTATCTATCTAGTGCCTAGAATCAGCGAAACCATATAGGAATCGTTTACCCGATTATATTATATCTAGCAAAACGGTTATTATATTGTGTATCCAGTCTTGTTGCCGCTCGATAATGAGCTGCGCTATTTAATTTTCCATTTTTTTCATCATTAGATTATAGGAGAATTAGTATATGGTCTTCCACATAAGTTCGAAAAAAACACGAATTTTGTTTATCCTAAACTACCGAGTGGACAATATTATACTGGAAGGTATATTATTCTATGCAGGAGGGGAGGGGGAGGGGGAAGGGGAGGGGGAGCACTATAATAAAAAAGAGTGCGATGAGACAGAATTTTAAAGATTCATAATTATGATTAGTGAAAACATAAGTTATTGAAGTTTTTTCATTGCTCTGATATTAAATTTTTCTTGGAAAGCTTCGATTGCTAAGGTGGTAGAGATATAATTTTTTAAAACCGCGTACCCGATTTTATATGTAACAAAATTTACATACAAAATTTACATAAACTTCTATCTCAAGCACTCTCTTTCATTTTTTTAAAGTAGAACACCTAAAGTGGTACTATGCACCAGTTTTTCTGTCAGTTAATGGTCCGATAGTTAATTCGATATGACTTCTAAAATCTATTTAAAGTCCTATGCCCGGTTACAAGTCTTCTTTTGCCATATCTTTTGCGTGCGATATGATCTCCACTAAACCTGTATTATTGTTATATAATCATTAATTAATTTCCTTCTCTTTATTTGTAATCAGTGACGTAATTAATACGGGATACGAAGCGAGTGGTCTTCATAGAGTGCAGTCTCTAATTGTAAGTCGTACGTTATAATCATATATAAGATAATCAAAATGTATTTGTTGTGTATTTCCTAGATATGTGTAGATATACACGTAGCTATCTAATAGTTATCACATAAAGCTTCTCCAATCACCGATAAAAAAATTTATTTATCCTCAATAGAAAAAGTTGCATTTGTCGCGTCACTGAAGACAGTCGTGCACGATCCTCATATTCTGGGCTAGGACATTCTAAAGACATCGAAAAAGCGTCAAGGATTGGCCTCTAATACTACACATGATCATGACACAAGGGTACACGTGAAAAAAAAAAAAAGAGAACTCGAGAAATTTTTTTACTTTCATCGCGCCTACCCTTGATTGGCGCTTCGAAATAAGGCACCACATTCGACGCTGTTTATGCGATCGATCATAGAAACGATCACTGATCCCTGAAGATGCAATAGAATCGGTGATCTCTGTGATTCGCTATAATTATGAGTCTTTATCTACGGATCGTCAACTATTGTTTATTTGCGGGTGTAAGTCGGTCCGATTAAAAATCTCTTTCTCAATCTAGTTTAATTTCTCAGAATGGTGTATGCTTGGACGATTTATATCCCGATTCTTTACTTATACAACGTCGAGCGTAGTAGTTGATATCATCATAGTGATTAATAAAACGCACTTTCTTCTCGAGTCTTTGGAGAGAAGTCTCGACCAAAGTTTCAAAGTACAATATATTAATTCTTATTGCTCTCTCCCTCTCTATGCCTGCGTCACGTAACACATTCTCTATTGTTATTGACTTTGAATCTTATATTGGCGATTGTATTTCCTGCAGAGTTCTTACAGTTTGCCACTTGTAGAACTCCTTGCAGAAAATCCTTACAAACTTCGAAAATTATTAAAACGAGGAGAAGCAGAGGAACTAAACACGCCTTTGGCGCAACGTATGTTTTTGATCCTCGTTGAATAGGCTTGTTTAAACAGATGAAGTCGATTCGCTTGTTTTAACAAGGTTCTACGTAAATTATTTTGTGGGGTTAACGATTAGTCAAACGGTCTCTTCTGTTATACTTCTCGACATGTGCAAAACTCCGAGGCTGAAAAGAGAAAAGAAGTTTGGAGAAAGTGTTTGCAGTTTATTCGAAGACTTGATAGAAAAAAATCGTGTATGTGTATGTGTGTGAGTTATTAAAATTATTTCTATGTTAAAGATTTTGATTCTGTCAAGTCTTCATTTTGCTTGCTATTGATCTATAAATAAATCAGGGATTCGCGAAAATATAAGATGAACACTAATGAATCAATGTGATCTACTATGATCGTACAAAGTGATAGCCTAGCCCTACCAACAAGCGTGTTTACTTGGCGATCCCCGCAATTCGTGTGTCATCTTGCATCTCGACAACGACGGTGTCAGGATCAGGTACCCTGTTAGCGGAAAGACATCCATTGGCGATTGTGGTTGGCAGCACAGTCTCCGACTGAAATTAAATGAATATTGCTTATTGTTCTAGATGCTAGTATAAAAATAAAAATTCCTTCAAGTAAAATAAGCGAATGGAATGAGTCAATTGTTAAACATACTTTTTTTCGAATAACTGATGTGTACATAATTAATTATAAAGAAATTTTACTTGATAGGCTGCTGCGTCCAATGCCATCAGTTCCTTTTTCGACAGTTGCTCAACTACTGCAGCGGCATAACAATCTCCTAGCATATTGTTGGTGGTCCTTATGCGATCTCTAGTAGATGTAGAATTATGCTCATATTAATAATAATAGATTTTAGATATTTTTCCATCGACATAATGATTGCCTTGAATTGTAAATGTGTATTGATCGGTACTTACACGAACCAGTCGATCGCGAATAAAAGAGAAACATCATTAACAGGAGCATCAATGGCGCTTAACACAACCAACAACAGGACAAGCGCAGCACTTGGTACTGAGGCCGACGATACAGAAGCAGCGGTGGATGTCAGACTTCGCAAAATAGAATGATAAAATAACGATGAATATAATTTCTCGTGGTAATGTAAAAAAGTTTGTCGAAAGACTCACATAACGGTGATAATCTCGCCGAAACCCAAAAAAATCCCATTCATCTGGGCGATGAATATGCTGGCCACAGCGACGAAGAGTGCGGTACCATCCATGTTAATATTGCAACCGATTGGCAAGACGAACCTGGTGACTCTAGGGTCGACTCTGAGCTTCTCGGTCATCAGACGAAAAGTCACAGGAAGTGCAGCAGCCCTGTACAAAACTGCGTTAGCAAAGATCGGATAAGGCATGCTTCCGGTGATAGTAGAAACACCATGTCGCCTGTTGCCGCAGTCGGTGGTCATTCTGGCGTAAACTTACGAAATAGGTGTGATTTATTGATAATTTCTTAGATATAATTGATCAAAGGTTGAATTGAACAAAACGAAATAGATGGGGCAGAGAAGTGATGTATGAATAGAAAATATTCGGAATTAATATGGATGCATATTAATTACGGAAAATATCTGCAAATAGTAGACAGAGTGCCAGAGCAACAGCCAGAATGACCGTGTCAGAACAACCTGAAAAATTAATCGGCATTAGCTAAATCACAATCCGCAGGATATCCGCCAGAGACCCACGTAGAATTCTGTAACAGACAATGTATCTTCATGTTGCGGCCATCAATTACTTACCAAGCCCTCGGTCTCTCAAAGTCAACCACCTGCAAAAGGCCGCGTGCAGTGCGTGTTCTAATACATCATCATGATATTCATACAGTCTCTGTTCAGATACACTGAGAACAGAGTTTCTCAGTCAGTCACAGTGTACGCACAGTTGTGTACGCTCTTTTCTGGAAACAGTTAATCCACAGAGAAAACAGATTGAGTTAGATACAACTGTATAAGACCTAGCTGGATCAAAAACAATATAGGCACTGCTAAAAACAATAATAGAGGACAATAAATAGGGAAGAGCGGAATAGCGGATAGATTGTGGATTGTGCGGAATTAATTTTTCGAATATCTTTTAAATGTATGTGTTGGACTTGCGAATATAAAAGAAGGGTAGGATTTCAGAGAATGACTCTCAGTGTGAACTGAAAAAATGATCGTTGCTTTGTATGACTCTTAAAAATGAATTATCAAGAGGCAAATAATCGCACGTTGTTCAGCAGTACAGCCGGTCATCGACGTCCTCGTCGTACCTGCAAGAACGAGCCCGATACACAAGCAACTAATATTTTTTCAGTTCCTCTAATCTGTTTAAAAAAAAACAGTATACTTTAAGTACTCTATTTAAGTTTTATATCATATACTTTGGCGTGGAGGCCTCCTTTGGCAGTTTCTTTTTTCTCTTTCTCGCCATCGCGAGGGAAGAGTCTGAAGATACCGATCACGAATCCTTAGCAGACTTCCACGCCGCGAATCAGTCCAGGTAACACGGAGTCAGCAGATCTCCGGTTTAGACAACATCATTGCCGAATAGTTTTACTCTCGTGATAACGCAGACAATCCTTTGAAATTACTCTACACCTTTTTATTCGCGGCGATAATACATTATGACGATTATTATAACGAAATTCCGTTTACACGTTGCCGTAAAAGATTTGGCAACGATTTTTCGAAACTTCGTAAGTTTGGATGATCGGAAACCTGAAGTATCAGCATTCTAAGTGTTACCCGGAACTGCATACCTCTTTCCCTCTTTCTCTCTTTCTCATGTGGCATGGCGAGCTCTCCTCGCAAGCGAACATTAAAAGAGATTGTCATATGTGGAGGAAGGATTAATAGGACAATTAGAAGTTGTGCCAGCTTTCATAACATTTTTATATAAAAACTAAGCAAACGAGAATATATACGAAACCAAAAGTTATGTAAAGCTGGCTTGACTAATTTTGGAAGGGATATCGGGATCGTGGCCTCGCAAAGCCTCCACATAGCTGGCTGAAACATCAATATGTGTCTCTGTCAATCTATTCGATCGATACACGTCTTTCATCGCCACGTATCACTCATTGTCTATTTCATTTTGCAACGTCAATTGTTTTGGAATTAATTACTTGCACCATTAATCGCGCGACAGACCAGCTCCATTTCGCATAAACGTAAAAAAGGTCCACGTGACAAAAATAAAAAAAGCGGAGGGAAGAAAGGAAATATAAATGGAATGTATGTGGGAGACGACCGATGAGGAAACTACGAGGTCAGAAAGTACAATCACAACGTTGACCGAGGCCCTGTGAGGCAGGCGAAATGGATTCTCTCAAGGTCGGGCTCGGATTCGAAGATCGACGACTCACGTTGATGCCATGGCGAAGGCGGTGAGAGTACCCTGGGCGAGGCCGGCGTAGAATTTAAAGGGGTTCTTTCTAACGAAGGCCATATATATTAACTGCATGATCACCAGCTGATAGAGAAAGACACCGATCGCGATCGTGACGATGAACCATGCTAGCTGCGACATCACCAGTACCAGATCGTCCACGCCGAGTATTTTGCCTGCTATTACAGAGGTGATGCCGATTGGTGTCATCCTGAAGAAGAGACAAGATGTTTTCTATTATACATCATAAAGCGCTGTCATGTCGCTTTCAATGTTCGATTTTGATTTCAAAACTCACCACATAACGGTTGAGACCATTCGCATAATGACTTCAAACACAGCCTTGAAAAAATCTATGACAACTTGACCTTTTTCACCGAGCGTTCCCAGAAATGTACCAAAGACCAGGCAGAAGAAAACTATGCCTAAAGTGTTCGTCCCGCTTCTATATTGTATCACTCTTATCAGTTCTTCGTCTCCTAAAACTTCCGTTGGTAGTTGGTCAGTAATATTCTGGAATGGTTGCTTTTTTGGAACGTATACTGTATGTGCCTGCAACAGTATTATTGTTATTATTATTATTAAATTACAAACTAATTTTTCTTTTTTCCGAATATGATATATTGCAAAAATCGAAACATTATCCTCACCTGTTGAAAAGCTGCTTGGAACAAATTATCTGGAAACATGTTCCTGTAAAATAATTAATTTATAGGATTATTGTATTTAGTATATTTTCAAATATATTAAATACATTGAACAAATAAGCAGTGTGTTTTTGCGATAAAAAAAGGACTATATATAATATATATATATATATATATATATATATATATATATATAAAATAGGACAATGTATTTTAAAAATAACACATTTTTTTCCCACGACCTTTATTTTATTCATAGCCTTTAAATATTGGTTAAGTCGCGGCGCAAATCATGCGGCGACTTTTCAATTAAAATGATCTTATCTCGTGTCACTGAGTAAAAAAATTATTAAATAGTTTCCGAGTATCGAGTGGTATTTCTTCGATTTTAATCCAACATTGGAAAATCATGTCAGATATTGTGTGGGCTTTTAAGCAGAGTTTTGGAATGAGTTTTCGTGCGACTAAAACACGCACGATCGATGAGCTTCTATTTTCGTCTGAACGAATAGTATATGCGATCATGATGAGTTTCGTTTAGTGGAATTTACGGCTTGTAAAATGCTATGACCTTAATCCGACTTAGTTAACCTCTATTATTGGAATGATTCAGCAATTAGGCAACGGTAAAGAGAAGTATCGCGAATTGATTTTATTTTAATATCGCGCAGACGTTATTCAAAGTTTTCGTAATAAAAAATCACGGCAGGGAATTTTTATTACAAATTTTTATCACAAAAATACAATTGATAAGACGATTCCAATTACAAGATACTTAAGCGTAAAATGAAAATATTAATTGACTGTAAAATTGATTATATCAAATCGTTGATTGTTTTCTCATCGCTCCATACACTTCGCGCTCGATTACCTCCGTTTTTAATAGGGAAACTTTCAAGCGTCTATGTACATTATTGATATTGACAGAATCGATATCGAGGATGAGATATCGCAGACATAATTTACCTTCCTAAATCGAGCAGGCTGTCTAGTATGTTAACGGCTCTCGCATGATGCGACGGCCCAATCGATTCTCTGATACCAGGATTACCGGGATGAATAACGAGGACCAGGACTACACCGAGAACAGCATTGAGCAAGGACGTCAGTATGAAGTACACCAGAGTACGAACAGCGATCATTCCGTTCATCCTGGCGTTTAAACTCGCTGAACCTAGAATAATAATGAAAATGAATGAGGTAATTTCTTTGGGGTGAATGAGCATTTGACACGCGTCTTATTGCGCGCACGCAATAATAGGAAGAAACTTACCCGATATAAGACTGGCGATTACCAAAGGTAAAATCATCAGCTTTAGCAATCTCATGAAAAGCTCTCCGGGATAGCTGATCAACATTACCGCATCATCCCCAAGGTCCAGAGGTCGTAAACCAAATCCTAAGAAGAGATGCCATCTTATTAATCCACAATTCTGTGCGGCGACAATGTCGCCTTTTCGTTTGCGACGTAGAGCAAAGAGTTAAGAGATTCTACGGAGCGCCTAACCTTGAACTATATTTAAACTTATTACAGTTAACTGGCTTATTATCCGATCACGAAGAAAGAGTAAACTCTTAAAAGGGGATGATGAAAAGATTGTGAAGGTTTGATCAATTCTTTTCTATTCCATCAAGTCAGATTCGTTTTATAAGCTGTTTATATTCTAATAGAGTCGTTACATACATATATGTAAAGTGTGCACCATATACATCTTTAAATAAATTATTAATTGCGATAAGATATTATGTAGATAACAGATACTTTATTAGTATTCATAAAAAAATCGATGATGTAGAGGTTGACACATAGTCTTGAATCTTTCATTTGAAGAATGAATGAAAACGTTGATTTAGATTCAAACTGACCTCTGTCGAATGATATCGTATAAATTATTATCATGTTGTCAACGATTCTATTTATAGCAATGTAGCTATGTTTGTAGGATGTTTGACTATCAAGTATTAAATTAAATTGTGGGAAATGAAATTTTGCGTAAATCTAATACTCACTCACATATATTGATGATTCTATTAATATGTTTGCCAATCGTTAAATTTATTTTTACCTCTCGTTTAGTTACGTCAAACGTATAGACTCGGTAAATTTCATCAACTAATCTTCGTATTACAATTCAGTTATAATTATATTAAATTAAATTATAAATGCATTATACATTTCATTTCCGATGTTATACGATGCAAACTAATAAAATCAATTTTTTCTTAATTAAATATGATTCTGTTTATTAACATTTCCAGGTAAATCGAATGATATATTCATGGAAACAAACATGCCATAATGTACATACATGAGCATGAAAGATCTATCATGTTATGAATGAGAAAATATTGAATTTCCATTAAGAACCCGACTCTAGAAATCGAACTTACGTGATGGAATTTTTTCAAGAAAATACTTTGTCGATTGTCAATATCTTTTAACGTGATACTATGTTTTTACGTAATTGGAGTAATTTCGAATTGGATTCTCTGCAATATATAAAATCGATGTATATGAAAGTTTGCAATAAATCATTTATCATGGGAAATGTATTATGCTACATCTCGCAGATTTTTATGAACGTTTGACATATTAAAAGCATTCATTATGATCATGTATATGCATAGATGTTAATTATAGAATAAAATCTATACAACGCATGCAGTCGTTCTTATTATATAAGATTTTCATGAATCGATAGTGTAAGATATACAATATGAAAAACAAGTAATCAGTCACTAATATGACAAAGAAAAAAATTGCTAATGAATTATCGTGATAAATTGGAAAAATCTAAATTAGCCTGCATTGTTGAAAACATTAAATGTATTTTTCAATTGCCACAAATGACATTCATCATTTATAGTTGAAAAATGTAAAATGACAAGGGAATAAATTGAAATCATATACATTTTATAAGGGTATAGGACACTTTATTTTATACTTGCGTTCACATCTTTCGATAATGATGCGTAATAATCGACTATTAAACATGGTACCAGATTTAAAAATCTTCTGAATATTATAAAAAAATATAGTGCTTTAGAAAAAAATCTGAAACTGAAGACTGAGATCGTAATTTAATCGAGAAAAATCAAGAAATATCTCTGATACTCACCAAGAATTATGCCGAAGAGAACGCCGGAAAGGGTGACCATGAGCAGCAGGTTCTCTCGCATCCACTTTCTGGTGTCGGCGGTCACCTTACGGGGACCCTGAGAGGCCGAGACGTCCTGCCCGCCCATCTTGGCGAACAGATACTCGGAGAATCGGGCAGAGGACTTCTCCTCCATCTCACTGGGCCGCCAGCAAGCGGCGTACAAGGGATCGGTGCGAGTCGCGTACGAACAGGCCGATCCTCCCGCCGATCCTCCCAAGCTCTCTTCTCGCGATCTCTCGCGGCTAACGGCGGGGCCCCGGTAGCACCACGACGACGACGGGTTGCCGTTTTGGGGGTGTTTCGGTAAATCCGTGCAGAAGGACCAATCACTCGCGCCTACCAGACGTCTTAATAGCCTGGCGGCGGCCTGGCGGATGCCTACTGATTCGATCGTGGTACCGGGATAGGATTGGACCAACTGCTTAGCGATGCTGATAAAAATTGGTGGCTTTGCTAGAGCTCGCGGGACCGTCTAATCACCTCCCGTCGACTTGTCTAATTTTACGTTTGATAATGTCCTACGTCGAAGAATGTCCTCGACGAAACGATTCGAACGTGTACCCGAGGGAGAATTACGCGTTTCTCTAGTTCTAAACGAGAAGATTGCGGACAATTTCGAGTTCCGTAGATCTTTGATCGTCTTAAGATTCCTGTAGCAGCAGTTTCTTGTCAAATATTTGCGCTGTTGCACAAGGTCAGTTACCCGAGAGATTCTCTAGCATTGTCGTCTCTTCTCAAGTATGATGATACCACCACCGTTCTTTTCCAATCGGCGCACTTCAACCTCGTAAAGATCTTGATTTTAGGACAAACGAGAAGAATCAGAACTGAGGTACGGCGACGATGACGACGATGAAGACTCGAGTGCAATGGACTGTTCTGATGAGTATTGCCGACGTAACTGAGCGTGCGCGTGGATCCCCGACACGTTCCTCGCAAAGGATGAGCCCCGACTGCCTGGTTACCGGCGGACATCCCCGTATTGATTCACCGGGATTTCACCCCCGAACGTCCCCGTTCTTTCGGCGACAATAGCGCGCGCCTGCGCAATTTCAGTGGTTCAATCAGTCGCTAAAACGTAGCAAAATGTGCACTGTCCCGATGCTGTTACTGCACGGTGGTGCATCGCAAAAGCAAGGAGGACATGTATAGAGAAATCAAGAGATGACGGTCAAAAGAGGGTGGTGACGGCAGGGTGCGAGCGTCGACGCGCAAAAGAAACGAGAAAAGCAAGGATGCGGCAAAGGGCAGCGGAAGTTTCTCAGAATTGCGAAATATATTATCCGAAAGGAAATCTTTAAATTTAATAGAATTCTGCTTCTTTGTCTCAATGTAATTATTTTTTCATACTGCTTGGAGATGCTGAAATAAATTTTTTGCACAGAGATACTTTATACGTCAGCGATGACCCTGTATATTTTAAGAATAGAGCGTCCCATTTTATTTTAAACGCTTGACGTAACAAATCGAATAGAATGCTATTCATCACCAAACCGTGTTGTAATACAATTTATATATATAAATGGATATTTTATATTCTTTATTTCTTATATTTTAATTGGTTTTTCTGTTATACTTGGAAATTTAAAATTGTAAGACTAGAATATTTATGATTCACAATTATATACTTTATTATATATACAAACGAATTAGGAAAACATCGGAAGATAATAATTTTGCGTAGCAAAAATCGTTGCGTTACAGCCATAAAATGTATCATATTAAAAGAATAAAGATTATAGAAAAAAAATATTTTTTTAATACAGAATGATGAAATAGATAACTGTCTGATCAAACATCGGTAAATACTACCTTTGTCTGACCGTGATGGTAGTTACTACTGGCGAGCTTTGTAGGCGAAAAAGCGAAAACGTTTACTTGAAACAAGGAAAGATGGAAGCACCGCAATGATGCTTTGAATGATTCGCTTATTTTTTTCGATGCTAAGAAAAATTTTGTTAACCGCAGTATGAAAATTAAAAATGGTAGATATATGTACAATTACTTTGCCGGAAATAATATTGCGCTAATGATATCGTCAAAACAAAAAGATAGAGGTAACTTAAGGATCGATTCGATTTAAAAACTTCAATGCAGCGAAAATATCCATTTTATTCTACCTTTAATAGCGTATCACCCTTTTACATAATAATCACGTTATATCGCTGTCGACTGCACTCACTTCGTGGAAAATTGGAAAAGCAGTACAAAATTCCAATTGACTGGTCGTATAAAAGCGTAACAAAAGGAATGTGATACTATACAGGATATATTCGCGATATTGTTAACGAAGTGTAACAATTATTCATTTGCTTATTAAAGCGAATAAATATTTGGCAATTATTATTAATATTATTGTTATAGTTACAATTCGAAAAAGGCGGTTTTGCGTAAATATATGCAATATTTCTTAATTAAGCATAGATTATTATTAGTAGCTCTACTATTAACTCTCGACAGGACAAAATAAATATTTTAATATATATTAATACTATTAAATTTCATTGCTTGACAAAGCGATTTTAAATACTCGCTAATTTTAATTCCTTTTGATTCTTCTTTCATATCCGCGTCGGAATTGATTATGAAAAATGATCATGAGGGATGATTGCGTTTCGTTCAAGCATAATAAGAGAAATTCCTGTGTCATAGTCCGCTGACAAATGTTCTTTGTAACGTGTGAATTAAGTAATCTGCCGACGAAGAACCCCGACATTTCGGCGGAACAGACCATCCCCATTGAATAATGGAGGGTAATGTTCTAGTCCGAATCCGAATTTCGTAGTATGTTACCAGAGTTAGATCTCACCCTCTTTGTAAATAATCTAGAGGCGCGAGAACAACCAAGTGTGTGCCGACGAACGCCTATTTACTTTGTCCCCTTTCGATATATATGACACAATGTGTTTTTCGCATCGCTCTCCGTTCTTCGCATCTGTTTTCTAAATTCTTCGAATTCGAGATTACAGTTTGCATTCGAATGTCGAGGATGAAATTTTTCCATGCGAAGGAAAAATGTCATTTATATTCTTTATCTGTGCATAAATATATCATGCGAAATTTCGATATGATGATTTATAGATTTAACACATATCGAAAAGATTCATGAATATTAGAAAAGAATTGAAAAGCAAGATTAACATATTTAAACATCTGTCTCTTTTTAAATATTTAAATATTTAATTTTATTTAAATATAAAAACATATAATATACATTTATATAATATAATAAATATATAATATAATAAATATATAATATATATAATATAATAAATATATTTGTAAAATTGAAATAAGAATATTAAGAGAAAAAAAAGACAGAGAAAAAAGAGAAAAGCAAGTATTGTGAACTGCATAGATAAAATTTTCTTCGCCAGCTTCTCTTTTCTGGTGGTGGAAAAGAGATATCGTCTAAAATTCGTCTTATGCCTACCTGGTGTCTATGTTTTGCATGCAAGGCAAGAATCTCATTACGGAGAAGCTACTAAACGAACGCCAATGAAATTAGATTGGATATCGGTCGAAGGTTCGAAGAACGTGGCGAAATGTCGGAGAATAAGAACGAAGAAAAAAATTCCAATAATCAGATTGCACGTAGGAACACGAATTTACTTTTTTAAAAAAGTGGCTTGAGGTTTTTATTGAAATGTATTTACAGATTAAATCCTCTTAAATCTCAAAGACTATCTCCCTCATCGAGCATCAACTAGAAAGAAGTGAAAATCTTATAAAATATTCTATAGATTCTCGATATCTCCTGCATAATATCAATAGTACTAACCGCATTATTTTCTTTCGATGGTACGATAAAATTTTTGAGTTTTCATAAAAATGAGAGAAGAAACAATTTACACTTTAAAATTAGTTAGCAAAGAAATCTTTGGGAAATATAAATGAAAGCTATGATAGATGTATGACGCATATGTATTAATAAACATACGGAAAATGAATAATGAATTCTCTTTCCTCTCCACAAAGCATCGTATATGTATGTGTATTTCGATTATCCGAATAAAATATACAACAGAGATCAGGGAGCAATGCGACAGTTAATTTATTGACGCGTTTGAATATTTAGTATGCATGTCGTACACGAAGTGACCGTTAGCATGACTGCCGGTGATAATTAACGTTCACGTACAAACGTGGAAGGTGCACGAGCGATATGTAAATACATAGAGTTGAATTCACTTCCGTGTTACGAAATCGGATCTATCGGCGCTAATAATGACACATTTCCGTGATTACCAGACGATTGAGTATAATAGACGGACAAGCTTGTTCACACTATATTTCTGCAATGCAAATAAGATATCGAAGGTCGCACTTTGTGGAAATCATCGATGAGATCTGTGTGTAACAAGTGCTCGGCATATCCGTCAATTTGGACGGGGTGTCACGTCGGCGATGACAGTTCAAACAAACGGGTATTAAGCACTTAATATTCGACCTAATTCACGGACCTAATTCACGGACCTTCTAGCGGAATGCGTCGTCTTGATCATCGAAGGATATGAAACGATGTAACAATGTTGCACGATGGCTATTTAATAGAGTTTTTTTACATACTTTCCCCGCGTGATAAGATCAGAACGATTACGCGAGAAATATTAACTAATTAAAGAAAAAAAAATATATCCGATATAATCTTATTAGAAGTAGCTACTTAGCGGTTATTTGTAATTAATTCTATGATTGGGAACACATTGAAATAAATTATAAATATGCAAACATTTGATGGAAGCTGCAAACTTGCTGAGTAGACTCGACGATTGTCGAGTCGGTAGCCGGCAAGATTCTTCAAGCTTAGATAGCATCTTCGCGAAGACAAGAGCTATTATACTTGCACGTAAAGCCACGTCAGCCAAAGCCAAAGTCAAGTGTTCGTTCTTTCGAGGCTTCACTTTCCTCTTTTTTGATAACGCTCGAAGTGCATACAGTCTCTCAATCTCTCGCAACATTTTCCGTTTTTATCCATAGCCTTTTGTATTTCATATCTTCTCTGTAGATTCTTCAAATTTTGAAGTCACTGGGTCAGGCGATTGCATTTGAAAAATCTTGATACGCTCATCTTTGAATCATTGTGTATGCATTAGAAGAGGATCTCTCGAAACTTTTGTCTTGATGCTGTACCTATCTAAATTCTCATACATTGATTTGCACGTTTATTCCACAGAGCATTTCTGTCTCTCGTTTGTATTTAATTACAGTCTGTATGCAACTTTAGGAAACGCGTGTCTATGTACTTCATCAGTGCTATTGGGAAGTCACATGGTTCCACAGTGCTAAACTATTTCGGAAACTATTGCCATGTTTCCATTTAACACAAAATGTTGCAGAGCAAAAGCATGAGAAAATATTGAATCATTGATCCTTAATGAATAGATAGTTAAAATCAGTCGTTTTCTCATTCTGTCGTCATTTTAATCAATTTTTTTAAGTAATTACTAATATACGGAAATAAAATAGTGCGTTTTAAAATATAATTTATATCTGTAATGTTTTCAAATATTTTTAATATAAATGGAACGATTATGACATGCATTTCGATTGGAATGTAATTTCTCAATGAAAATATTTGTTTTAAATATTCCATTTTTGTTTAATTTTAAAGCGTCTTGTATATTTAAAAACTTAATTTACAGATACATTTGAGATGTTTATTATTATTTCACATCTGTTAGAAAATAAAATTACCCTACCGAAAAATATTTTCGTTGATATATATGTTTTTTAAATTAAGAAACTGATGAAAGCTGTTGCGTTCTTTTAATCTTATAATTACCAAAACAACTGTACAGTATTTATTTTAATTGCAGTTATTTAAAAAAATGATACAATTAGAGGAATGTTTAAAAGAAGAATGTTTGAAATAATATTGCAAGCATTAAATTTATTATACCTGATATTTCCAAGCTAAAATATTTAGAATAATGAAAAATTTGTAGGAATTAATAAAAATATAGTGGTATGTTAAATATATACATATAATATTAAAACATATCACGTAAAATA